TAGGTGAGGACCAAGGAGGAGTTTACTTCGAAACTACAATACAGTCGATGCGTAAGCCACGGTCGTAAACAGTCTATTCTCAACTAGTTGCATCATGCGAAGGTCAGGTGAAGACCAATATCAACTATACATATAAAAATCAAGATTGTAAAATAGATATTGTAAGGAGATCAATAGAGGCGTGCCCGAGGTCGAGGATAGCACTCAGACAAAGTATGTCTCCGACCCGTAACAGAAGACTGAAATCTATAATAATATTGAAGCTGAAGAATTTGTTTGTTTGAACGCGCTAAACTCAGGAACTTGAATTAAAAAACTACGGAACCCGAACGAACGTTGGGCGCGAGCGATGAACTTATTAACTTATATTGTTATATTATATTGTTAAAAACTTACATATGAAAAATATTAAAGTTTTTAAAGTTAATTGCTGTTTATTATTCACGAAAACTTCTGACACTGTCGGCCTCTTCACCAGATTTTCGTTTTTGGAAAAATTTCCAATGTAACCTGTTTTACCTCTGTCCTGTCAAATATTTGACGTAAACGACAGGTTTGGGTTCATTCGAATTTTAAATATGCAACGGTTCTAGTGAAAAGAGAGATTTAAGTAGTATTTCTGTAGTTTACACGGGTAGTACCTACACATTTTAATAAAACAATTAACGGTTTAAAACCCGAAACATATAATTTAAATAAAACTCTTTAACGGTTTAAAACGAGATATATTCGGATGCTTTGCAGCAGTCGTGGATCATGGGGAGAGTTTAACTAATATATCGCGTTTTAAACCGTTAAAGTGTTTTATTTAAATGTGTAATACTCGCGTAAACTATAGACAGTATCCGAAATATATAAGTTAAATTATTTTCACGTTGGCCCGTGCATTTAGACGTACGTTGCTACAAATTATCGTATTTAAAATAAATTAATATTTTGCGTTTTAAACTGTTTAGAGTGTTTTTTTTTTAAATAGATATACATCGAAGTACATCGTCATGCCTATATTATAAAGATACATTTGTCTTATTAGCTAGTGTCGTTTAATTCCTTAGTTTAATTTTTAATTATGGTTTGCACAAAACCTATTTACAATGTGCGTGGCTTATAACAATTGTGTGAAAAGTTCTTGTGTTAGGGACATAAGGGTGGGTCCCTTGTGTCCTTGTACCCGCGTAAGAAAAATAAAGGTAACAAAACGCCGTATCGTTAAAGATAAGGGCAGGGCTAGCGTAAAGGGCGCGCCGAGTTACGAGTCCGATTCTCGTATCCTAGACATTTATATCGAATGTCAGAGGTATATAACGTAAAGATTAAATAAATGTTTTTAAACATATAGGATTATTACTAAACAAACAGAAGCAAAGGTCTATAGTATTATTGGCTACTGTACCGAGCTAATTAAATAAATAAATTGAATTAAGCTTTTCAAAGGTAATCTACGGAATTAAGCGTCTTCGTACCAGAACTTAAAGTAGTTTTTTTTTAGAAGCTGTAGGCTCTTGCAGAAGTTGTGAAGAAATCTTGTTTTCAAACAGCAAACATTTTAAAAATTCCCGTCACATTTTCTGAAAATCTTAACGCATAACAGACATAACAAAACACTTTTAACTGTTTAAAACGCGAAATGTATTATTTAAAATTATTTTTCCTACGGCCCGACGTTTTGGGTGCTTTGCAGCAGCGTGTCTCCGTGTGACCACAGCTCGTGCAAAGCATACTGCTAATATATTTTAAGTTTAGTGTTTTACAGGGTGTACTACTCGCGTAAACTATAGATACTAGTTTAGTGTTCCAAAGTCACCTTTTCCCGTAATCGTTATAGTTGCTATCAAAGTACTGTGTCTGTCAATTAGAATTGAACCCCAGACTGTCTGCCCCCGAGGGATGCCCTGAGGACATGACTCACCTTTGTTTTCTCAAATGTCTGGGGGATGCATGACGTGCGTTAAAAAGTCAGCGATGCGACGTATAGGTTATCTGATAGTGTTTGTCCAAGTACACGTAATCAATATTCATTTTTTATCCAACAAGCTGATTAGGTTACGTGAAATACTTATCTATATATATATATATTTTTTTTTTTAACTTCAAAATGCTTCATATTCACAGGATGGCACTATATAAATTAAAAATCAGTTTAGATTGAAAAAAAAAAAACGACACAGGCGGGATTTGAATCGGCGTCCAGAGAGTTCCTTGTTTATTATGCGTCATCGTTGATTTTTTTCAACATATTGATAAAAATGCACCTCTAATCTATCTCTCTGCGCGATCTAATTTCAAGGTACAATATCTTGTTCAGCTTAAAAATTACTGAAAATGAATATATATAATAACAATAAACCCGTGTCGTATTTTTTTAAATGCAAATATTATATTTATTTTACTTAAATTCTCATGAAATTTATACCTACTGTCTTTTACCTAGTGACTGGTACGAAGCTCTACTTCGCTTTTAGCCGATTTCTATAATCTGTCAAATTCTTTGTTTTTTAAATACTAAAATATACAATCTATACTAATGTTATTAATACCAAAGTTTCTTTCTTTTCTGTCTGTCCGTCTTTAATTCCGAAACTACTGAAATGATTTAAATGAAATTTGGTACACAGATAATAAATAAAGTTTGTATGGAAATTCGTGGTTTTTGAAGCTAGAACAAGGAAACTTTCTTGGTTTTTTGGGAATAGGAGTGGGAGTGGGAGTTAGAGTAGGAGGGATGTGACGTTAGAGTGTTGCGGCATAGTAGGACTTACAACATAGCTTGGCTGCCTTAAATGTGCCCTTACATAAATTAATAATAAGCCTAAATAATTAAAAATTCTACCCCAAGTCACTATTCCACGCGGACGAAGTCGCGGGCACAGCTAGTACTTGATAATTCCAATTTACCCACTGATCATCAGCGTTAGTATTTAGCGTAAAACATTCAATAAAAACTACATCTTTCAATATTGTCTTTAGTTTTCCCGAATAGTACATTTATTTAAAACACTCTTAACGGTCCACCCGTAACCTCCAAACTTTGGGCTATAGTAAAAAAATGTAAATAACTCGACTAATACGTTTCGCTTTTAAACCGTTAAAGGTCTTCTCTTTAAACTTTATTAGGTCGTTGAAACTGAGGGTTATCTTGGAATGCCATCATCAGTCGCACTTAAAAGTACAGTTACGAATAAGGCAGGTCGTGCGTCGTGCAGACTTCGACGCATTGCGTACAGGCACGTACAATTGTTTGTTTTTATAACAAATATTGTATTTAATAGATAACCTAGGAGGTAGGTTACTTATACGTTGTGGTTTTGTCATATTAATTTTTCATTATAAGTATATTAATTATGGATTGCCGATATTGTCACATAAATATATAGAACACTTAACGGTTTAAAACGTGAAATATGGTGCTTTATTTAAATATGTTTTACTCGCGTTAACTACAGACAACACCTACTTACATAAATTAATATAGTACAAGGATCAGTTGCATGAAATAACATTCAGATACTTAGGTATATCTATTATTGGGTCTCACTTTAGTTTCTGCATTTGTTAGATTATAAAATACATAAAACTACCTACTTTTGATCTGAAGTACGGTATTGCTAAGGCTATAAAATTTTTAAAAAGGTTCGCAAACCCACGCTTAACACTTTATCGACGCGTGGATGTTGCGCGGGCGCCGCTACCATTTAAGGAATGCATACGTAACGCTCCTAATAAGTCGTTCATTCATAGTTTTTATTACATTTTCTCACGTACCCTATGATACTATTACGCAAGCAATTAAGAACGAAATAACTTGTTGCTATGGTAACGAGGTTTTTGAATATTCTTGATTATTTTAATTATGATATTTTGAGTTGGCGACGTAGACGAAAGTATGGACTTTATAAATTATTACTTTGTCCCCTTCATAAGTGCATAATGTGGTATATATTTGTGTCTACTAATACCTATTAGGAAAAACAGATGGCGCTAGCATAGCACTGACTCACATTGGAATCTTATTGCAAGCTTTGTAGAACCAAACAAAGCTAGACCTAATCATAATTTACTAAGACGTTTTGTTTTTCTTTGAGTGAAACGATCTCAAGCTTGCATCAGAGCTAATAATAATCTTATCAATGCACAGAGCAGCGTAAGAGAATTCGTTGATAACGCACGTTGGTAATGCAACATGTTATACAGTTCTTATGTTGTTTTGTTCCCACGTTTGCCTCTATAGCCGAACGGCTCGGTAATTTCTAGTGGTTAATAAGATTATCTCAATTCAAAGTAGAATACACTCTTACTTATTTGTCTTAAGAAACATTTCAACTAAAAACTATTGAATACTGTCTATAGTTTACACGAGTAGTACACATTTAAATAAAACACTTTAACGGTTTAAAACGCGATATATTAGTTAAACTTATTTGGAAATGATTTTTAACTTCGGCCCGACGTTTCGGATGCTTTGCAGCAGCCGTGGTCACGGTGGTCTGCCCGTGATCACGTCGTTTCAAATAAGTTTAACTAATATATCGCGTTTTAAACCGTTAAAGTGTTTTATTTAAATAAAAACTATTGTTTTTATGTATCATTGTCAATCTACAAATATTATAAAGCTGAAAAGTTTTTTTGTTTATTTGAACGCGCTAACCTCAGAACTGTTAATTCGAATAAACGATTTCTTTTTGTGTTGGTCAGAGCATTTATCGAGAAATTCTTTAGGCTATAAAACATCACACTGCGACTGCAATAGGAGCGGAGTAACAGTGGGAAATGTTGAAAAACGGGGAAAATTCATCTTTAAGGGTTTCCGATGCGTGCGCGGTGATAACAGTTAAAATAAACCAAAACATAAAAGAATGGTTCTTCTTTTAATGATCTAAAAAAATATCGGAGACAATATATGTCTATCTTTTAAGATCAAGAACGCGGATGACGACGTGGGCACAGCTAGTAAAGGATATTTGTTTTTGATGGGTATGTGATAATCGTGTTGTAATTTCCAGGTATCCCGTCTGGTCATCCTTCATGAAGAAGCGGAAGATGGCAACGCTATGCCTGACTTGGCACGGCCCGTCCAGGCCGTGTCGCTGGCTGTCAACAATCTCGTCAAGGTAAATCACATCAGGCTCGAATAATCACCAATGACAAGTATTATACTGCAGCTCAATTGATATGAGCAACAGTACGGAACACTGTGGTGGTGGGGTGAAGTCCCACATGTGGGATTTTTGAAATCCGTTTGGTGTCTATGAATACCACATTTAATATATGGGTGGGTTTGGATTCAATCCCCACTGGGTCCATCATGTTTCTAATCAATTAATAGGATTTCTGCAACATGTTGGACTTCGTTTTGAAATCTAGATATCTTAAAAGCGATACCGACACGAGATTAGAATTGACGGCATTTTAACATCTAGTATCGCTGTCAGTCTGTGGATTTCCGAATATCCAAAGCCAAAAAAATAGGTAGACCGCGAATCTTGTTTATCGTGTACCATGAAGTAATTATGTAATTGTACATTTAAAAAAAATAGGACACTGCATAACGCTATCAAGTGTTGAAAGAAGTTACCAACGCTTTCTTTTGTTCGTTTTGAATTCGTTTGAATTCAAAACATTTTATTGGAATATTGGGCTCGCTCTTGGTGGCGTGTTAAAAATATTTCACATATATTTAATGTAAAATTCTTTTTAGTATTAGTTTTATTTCGTAGGTATAGACCTTATTTGTATACTTAATCTTTTATTTACCCCTGTTTTTCCCCTATTTCCGTTTTCTTATTAACTGCAAGGACTATGAAATTGTAGGTAGGACATGAAACAATTGAATCATCAGACGATCCGATCCTACGTGCCGACATGCCCGGGGCTCTCCGGAGAGTGGAAGGCGCTGCCACTCTTCTACAACAGGCTTCTGATATGCTGAGAGCGGACCCGTATTCTGGACCGGCCAGGTTAGTGGACGAGGGACGTCATTCTATTGAGCCGAACTTAAAAATAAAGCGTCCAAACTACTGTCTGCTTTAGCAGAGTAGTATTTTAAAATACTTTTAACAGCAGAAACGTGAAATTTATCTCAACTTCTATTTGATTAGGATGATTTGGAAGGGGACAGTCCCTCCGCATTATTTAAAATAAATTATTAAAATATATTCGCGTTTTAAACCGTTAAAACGCGTCCTAGTCAAATAGTAAAAAAATGTTGATTGATGGATAAAGTGATTAATGATGTGCAGGAAGAAGTTAATAGAGGGATCGAGAGGCATCCTGCAAGGTACATCAGCGTTGCTCCTTTGTTTCGACGAGTCTGAAGTGCGAAAAATCGTCAAAGAGTGCAAAAAGGTATTCGTCGCACGCACAGTGTTTAAAGGTTTTTTCAACATAATGTTCTAAACTTAAATATCTATTTGACAGGTGTTGGACTACTTGGGCGTTGCGGAAGTTATTGACACCATGGAGGATTTAGTGCAATTTTTAAGAGATATCTCGCCGGCACTGTCAAAAGCGGCTAGAGAGGTAATTTTAGTTTAATTGATGTAAAGAACCGATGGTGGTCAAAGGGAGTTGTTTTATTTAAATCTGTACTACTCGCGTAAACTACAGATAGTATTTTTTTTAATGTCTTAGGTAGCAGGCCGCGCAGCAGAACTAACTCATCCACCGCACGCTGAAACTCTGACGCGGTGCCTGGAGAGCGTGAAAAAGTTGGCGCCGGTGCTCATCTGTTCAATGAAGATTTACATACACATCCTATCTGAAGGTAAATTGAGAGCTATTTTGGTTTAGTTGCAGATTCGATACTAGGTTTGGCACTAAAATATTAAACTTTGTGTAACCTATTGACCGGGCTCAGTTTATTCTTCATTCTTTAGTTCAAGGGGTTCTGATCGGGCAGCCTGATCAACTACTTGCTTAAATATAATTGATTAATGAAACAGACACAAAAATGTGACCGCCGCATGCCACACGGATGCAACTGGGTTCACACATATGTTGCGATCCGTTGGACATAAGGTATTATATGCTTGGTTTTACCTTAGAACCAAAAAATTGATGTTCGTTTTTTTTTTGGTAAGGTGTAAATCTATAAACAAATTTTTTATACAGTCTGTAGTTAACACATAAAAATACCACTTTAAAGTTTTAAAACGCGATATATGTTAGTTAAACTTATTTGAAAATCATTTTTAACTGTGGCCCGATGTTTCGGATGCTTTGCAGCAGCCGTGGTCACGGGGAGACTGAGGGGAAACACGTTTTAAAGTGTTTTATTTAAACAAATGTTATCTTATTACCGATTCTATTCAGGTGGTAAAGGTATAGAGGATGCAGCCGAAAATAGAAACTACCTGGCTCAACGGATGGCTGATGAAATTCACGAGATTATACGGTAATATATTTCTTTGTTCGTCGAGGTAAAATTAAATATAATTTTAAAATTAGCCCATATAAATTAACTGACTTCGTGTGCATTTTTGACCAATAAACTAACAATAGTGGACGAATGTCCTGTATCAATATGTATTTTTAGTGGATACGTTGTTATTACAGTGTGTTGCAACTTACATCGTACGTGGAGGATGGAGGCGAAAAGGACAATATAGCTGTTTTGAAAGCGCTTCAATCCATGATCCATAGCAAAGCGGGGGCTGCGCATGAGTTTCTTAACGTAAGATTTTTAATGTCACAGTTATATGTTTGTTTTGGTTGGTATATATGGTCAGTTGGAATATTTCGTCTGGTCGATTATCTTTGTGAAAGTCATTTCTTTTTGTTGGGCACGGAGCAAACACATTTCTGTGTCCGTTTCACCGATTGATCTAATTAACAGACAAATATTTGATAAGACTTCTGTGCCCCGACCAAACGAAACAATTTACTGTTTCCCCAAGATTCGAATTTAGAATTTTCCGTCTACTAAAACCTATATTATACTAAAGAAAGATGCCTATTGTTAGTTAAGACGTTTTTCTTCTAATGTTGGCATTCTAGCAGCGTTATAAAGGAGATGAGAAGAAAGGTGTTCTCTTACTTCTTCTTGGCATATTTTGTCTCTTTCTTTCGAATAATAAATGCAATAGCGATGATGAAATGAGACAAAAAGCTAATATTGAAAATTTTAATACTTTTCACATGTTACACACTTGTGCACATGATGGCGTTATATAAATTGAACATCGCGTTATTAAAAAAAAAACTTTTATACTAAATAACTGATGGATGTAGTCATTAGCTTAAAAAAAAATCTCTCTGATCTCTGGACTCTGACACGGTACTCTTTAGGACACGGTAGCTCAATTGCTTACTTGAACCAAAATGTCCTAAATTCCATAGTCCAATTTTTTCTCTTCTGCTCTCAACAGCACGGAACGCTGTGATCCCGGTTCAAGTCTCGTCCGTGTCATATATATTTTTTTTATTTATAATCGATTTTGTAATTCAGCTAAAGTAGGTGTAGTATGTAGCTATATTGAAGTCTATATTTATAGGACCCCGATGCTCTTCGTAATACTGTAGGCGAGAGAGCGTTGCGCTCAGTACTGACGTCCGGGCAACGTGCAGCTGAACATCTGACTCCTGCGCACGCTGACACTCTGAGAAGCACGGTCAGGTAATAATTCTTTGAGAACTATAAAGCACTAGATGTGCCAGCGACTTTGTCCGCGTAGAATAGTTATTTCGGGCGTCAAAGTTTATTTTTGCAAACCTCCTCATATTTATAAATTACTAGCTGTGCCCGCGAGTGTCGGGGTCGGCCAAACAAACTTTCATCCCTCTTTTAACCCCTTTAAACCCCCTTTTAGCAATAATAAGTCTTTTCTCTTTTACCATCTGTGTACCAAATTTCATTCTAATCCGTTCAGTAGTTTTGGCGTGAAAGAGTAACAAACAGACAGACAGAGTTACTTTCGCATTTATAATATTTAGTAAGCATAGCCGTTGCCCATGCCGTCGTTTTTGCAAGTCAAGTTATACATATAGAGTTGTGGACATTTTTTTTAGATCATTTACAGCGGAATCATTTCTTCATACATATTTTTAATAATTTTTCAATTCATTACAACCCTGTAGTAGAAGCAAACAAACAATTTAACAGAGTAAATTATAAATTTATATGAAAATTGCTTATGTTTTATGAAAGAGATGATACATATTTTGCTTGGACATTTGGTAATTTACAGACTGAGTTTGGCTAAACTCATGTTAAAAATTGTCTTATTAACCCAATGGGAACCGAACCCGCAACGCGTTGATTATTAGCCCAGCTTAAATTTAATAAATTATTCATTATTTTCTTTCTTATAGATCTGGTGGTATCAACGCAGACATGTTGTGCGATGAAAGACAGTACGGACGTGGTAGGGAGCAAAAGGTATTTAATAGAATTGAACTTCCCATATAAAATAAAGCACACTTATAGACGCTTCCAGGCTGTTAAAAAGAGGGTTTCATCAATTGCTGTTATATATAATTTTTCGAGATTTAAACCGTTCAAAATGCTCTCGCTGCGTCGGAAACATACAAAATCTTTCCATTTTCCATCTATAAAATGTTGCATTATTGTTTTTAGGCTTATAAGTTAGCGTCGGAGCTTGGTAGCCAATTGGATGAGGTAGAAGGTGTGGTGAACGAAGGAGTGAGAGCTGCAGAGAAACAAGGTGGAAAAACCATCCAGGCGAGGTACGTTCATTCATTTGTTTATAGACCTAACGATCCTCAGCGTTCCGTGCTCTTGCTGTAACCAACTGAGCTACCGAGTCCTACACGTCATCGTCGAATTCTTTGAACTTATTAATACGTGCACCTCTCGCGCAATGTAATTTCAACCTTAACGCTTGTATTTTAAGGTTCAATGTCTTATGCCTTGCAGCTTAAGAAAATAATAATGTCTCATCATTATATAGTATGTTCGTACAAGCGAACTAAGAGTAACAATCACTTTTCGCCGCATGAGTCATGGGGCGAACATATTTCTGTGTCCGTTTCACTGATCGGTTCTTAAAGGAAAGTAATTGACCAAACATCTGTTGCTTCTCTGGGATTCAAAGCCATGACCTCTTCGCCTAACGCAATTACCTTTGACTATTTCCTGGTGGGTTTTACCAAAGAGTTCGTGTATAGAAAGTTTAATACATACAATGAATTTTATAAACGTTACATTTATGGTAGTAACATTTAAATGAAACGATCTCTGGCATATATAGATTAGAAGCCGCCCACAAATGGCTGTTGCACCCGGCGGCCGAACCCGCTACCCGTATAGAAGGACAAAAGGCGATCAGCAGTATTGTAGCTCAAGGACAAACGGTATGTATTATATGAAAAGTCGCTGCGTACGCAACGACAACCCTAAATGATGAATGATTTTTCCAGTAATTTCCACATTTCCCACTATCGATCGTAGCCTAACGTTTTAACATGAAAATATATTTTTTTAATCATAATAGTAGTTCAAACGAAAATGTCCTCTTGTCGCATTTGCCATTCCTTAGGTTCCTTTGTGTAGACGTAAACGTACTGTGTAATAATATAATTTGTTATTTAGATTGCAGATAATCTACACGGTAGGGAGAAAGCGGAAATAATGCAACTCTGCGCAGATGTCCAGCGGTTGTCCGACAAGTTGTCCGATTTGTGTATGAGTGGGCGTGGCGATACGGAGGAGGCGAGGGCTATTACTAGGTGAGTTAAGATCTTTTTCTTTTTTATAGAAAAAAAAAGATCGTATATGTAAAAAAAAATATTTATATTTATATATAATAATTATTTGAAGTATACATTTTGTGACAATGCGCACGTTTATTCGTGTAGCAGTGCGTGCAGTTAAGAAAATAACGGTTTGGTTATAAATTCTAAGTACTTACTTGTTCCACTATGAAAGTTCATGGTTAACCGCGTTTTAATAAGAGCGACAGGTTCTAGGTTCGAATGCTTGGGAAAAATAGTGAGTAATGGACTAAAATCGTGTTGCCTATAATTGCGGTAAGTGTGAGTCGTCCTGGGTTCGAATCCCAGGAAAGCAATAGATTATTTCAGTCGGGCAGGGCACCGAATTCTGATTAACTACTTGCCTGTTAAAGCAGCGATCAGAGGAACGGACACAGAAATGTGTTCGCCCTGTGCCTCACTAGGGGAAATGAGATTCACTTTTTGGTTAATATCTATCAGTTGTACGGACACAGAGATGTGTCCACCATTTTAAGGACACAGTGTTTGACACACACTTGTGATACTAAAAACTTTTAGAAAATTTAAATACCTACCTACTAGAGAACTGTCAGAAACTCTTAAACGTGTTCTTCTTTTAGGGAACTGACAGATAAACTACACGAACTAAAGCGCGGCCTGGACCGAGCGGTGGTGAACCGTGTGGTGGAAGACTTTATAGATGTTGCTGCACCACTACGGCATTTTACTGATGCTGTGAACGCTCCAATGGGTACGTGAACTTATTTAACATTTTTTTCCATAAATGAAAGTGTTGGAAACTTAGTGTTTGGGACTTTCGTAGGTGAGTGGAATCATCTTCAGAGGCAATTATATTGGTGTATTTAATTTTGTGTGTTGTTTCTGTAACATATTTCTATTCTATTCTAAATACACGATAGTACCCATTTAATTAGAACTCTTTAAACGGTATAAAACACGAAGCATATCAGTTAACAGCAATCAGCCCCATGGCCCCCGGGACCATGGCTGCAATGCATGCATGTCCGCATCTGGCCGTTCAAATCAATCGTAAATAAGTTAAGGAAAATAGAGAAATGAGAGTATATCCAAAGGTTTATTGCTGTATTTATTTTACATTGAACAAAATATTGTCTAACCGATACTTTTCGCATCTATTTTTAGAGTAAAACATTTTTTTTATACAGGTACACCTGGTCGCGATCTCAAATTCGAAGAGAAGGCTAACGCGCTGCAAGCTTTCAGCAACAAAGCGGCTGCAGCTGCTGAAATGGTAGCTGCTGGCGTGCGACACAACAAGAAACTTGCTGATATGTTGCATCATAATGCTAAAGAGGTTTGTTAAGTTCTTTTTATTAAACGCCTTAAGAAAACTTTTAACGGATTGAAAGTTGAAACCGTACTTGTATTTAATTATTAATTTTGAACTACCAACCGACGTTCCTTGCCTTTTAATAGACAAGGTTCAAGGTTGTTTATAAATGCGTCTAATTACGATATTTTTTAATAGTAGTCTATTGTCCACAGGTTGAAAAATTATCACCCCAATTGATTTGTGCTGGAAAAATTCGCCTTCATTATCCAGATAGTAAGGTATTAATATAGATAGTGTATGGTTAATACTGTAAGAGAAACTTGAAAGAAAGAAAAAAATAATTTGTTTGCCGTATAAATAAATACTATTGTGGATATAAATATGTTAGAAGTGATGTCCTTTTATTGTAGGGATAACTTTTCGTTGCGTAACGCGTTATCCTGGCGGTCTTTCTGATTACATTGCCACATATGGAATATTAATATTAAATAGTTCACTTAGATATGTTTAAATGGAGGGTTACTTAAGGGGGGCCTTAACTTAAATTTCTCTAAGTTCTTTTTCTATGTAACGCGGTGACTTTTTTTAATAGGTAGCAGAAGAGCATTTCACCAACTTGAAGAATCAATATGCTGACGCTGTCTTGCGCTGCAGAGACCTCTGTGATCAGGCCGTTGACCCTCTAGACTTTGTTAGGACTGCTGGTAAGATTTTTTGACAATTTTTTTTATAAATATTGGGAGTTAAAGATATTGCTCGATAAATCAAGAATCTCCTTTCAATACTTTACATGAATACATTAACGGTTTAAATCCGCGAAATTTACACGGTTTCCCCGTTAGAAAGCATCAGCTTGGGTCGAAATTAAAAATAAATAAACGAATATTGTTGCGGACAATGCCATCTTCGTGTGTTTGTTGGAAAAGCTTTATTGTTCCTGTTGTTGTGCCGTCTTCATGTGTTCGTTGAAAATCAATGCAAACCTTGTACGTTACAGTATTGTATTAACATCTTTAATAATAAAAGTATCCACAACTTTAACAAATATATTTCGCGTTTAATACCGTTCTATGATTTATTTTATTTCAGGGGAACTAATGCAGAAGCACACATACCTTTGTGAAGATGCCATCCGAAACAATGATTCGCAGAAAATGGTAGATAACACGTCTGCTATAGCAAGGTAAGAATACCTTACCTGATAACATAGTCTCTTATCTTCGTAGTTCAGTAGTTAAACGGATATGCTAAAATCCTTCTCCTTCTTCCAGTGCCTTCCATTACTAGATGCTGTTAACTTTTGTAAACGCGCGTTAACTGGGTTGAGTTAAAATCGTAGGGAAAAACGAAAACATACAATTGGGTCGGACAGGACAGCTATCACTAGTCCGTGAATAGAAATCTATCAGTGTGACGGACATAGAAAAGTGTCTGCAACATTTATCATGCATATGGGGCAGGATTTTAATTCACACAGTCTAAACAAGTTGGTCGCAACTAAATCAGCAACGAACAAGTCAATATTATTATATCTTACTATTTCTCGTAACGAGAGCTACAGGTGCAAATTATTATCTTTTATCGTTTGTGTTTTAAACTGTTAAAAGTCTTTTTTATTTTATTTTTTCACAGGTTAGCCAACCGCGTGCTGTTGGTAGGTGGCGCTGAACGCGAAAACACCGAAGATAGCGATTTTGCTCTCGCTCTCGCTTCCGCTCAACAACGCTTGCAGGAGAGCATCCCGCCAGCTGTTAGACAAGCTAAGCTAGTGGCCCTCGGCGATAGAACAGCTGTACCAGGCTGGAGAGCAGCTAATAATGAGGTATGAAATATATGCATCTATCTTTTTTTAAGCATTAAATTTCTTTAAACCTTAAAACAACGCAACCTTTTTTGTTAATTGCAACACTATTATGACATTTTGGATGCTTTAAATAATTATTAGCGCGAATCGCTGTAGTGGAATATATTTAAAATTAATTCAAAACTATCATCTGCCTTACAATGTGCAGATGTATGTGCTTTTTCAAAGTTTAAATGCTCATAAGTTTGTAACAGACTTTACAATGAATTATGTCTTGCTACAGATAATAAAAGCATCAAGCGGTGTTGAAGAAGCACTATCACGTCAATATGCCCCTCCGCCCCCACCCCCAGCATTACCCGAAACGTTCGCTGCGATGCGTGTGAATGTAAACGAGGCGGCGCCACCCAGGCCTCCGCCCCCAGCGGTCTCTGCTCCTCCTAGGCCTCCACCGCCAGATACCGATGACGAGGGAGAAGACATCTTCAATAGGCAACCGCATCCCAGCCAACCTATATTGGTGAGTAACGATACTATAGTATACGCGAGCTACTCGCATTTACTACAGTCAAAATAAAACGCTTTTCACGGATTAAAAAGCGAAATATATGAGTTAAAATTAGCTTTATCGTATGCTTTGCAGCAGCTGTCACGACCACGTCTGCTGCAAAGCATACTGCTAGATGAAATAAATAAAAAATAAGTTTAACGTACATTTAAAATACGTCGACAACACATCTCAGTTAGATATAATATCATATAACTAATTTGAAAATTATTTTAATGCTTTACAGCAGCTGCAAAGCATCCGAAACGAAGGGCTGTAGTTAAAGTTATTTCAAATTAAGTTAAACTACTATATTTCGGGTTCTAAGCCGTTATAGTGTTTTTTTTTAAGCAACCGTTATTGTTGGCATTATTATTATACTATTTCTCCTCAGGTGGCAGCCCACAATCTTCATCGCGCGGTCCGAGAGTGGTCCTCAAAAGATAACGAGATTATCGCTGCCGCTAAACGCATGGCTATACTTATGGCAAGATTGTCTGACCTCGTGAGATCTGACTCTAAAGGTATGTCCCATTTTATACTGTCTGGAGCTTACGCGAGTGTTTAAATAAAACACTTTAACGGTTTAAATTGCGATATTTATTAGTTAAACTGTTGACGGCTTCAAGGCATCTAACACCTTGGATCCCATATTAAAAACTCTAGTTTCCAAAAAACAGCATACTTGCAAACGCGAAGACACCATTAGTCAATTATGCAAGGACCTGGCCAGTATCGCCAAATATTAACTACGCCAGAACAGGTGGCGCTAGCGTAGCAGTTTTTATTTTGACATCAGAGACCCCCTCCATCTTGAGTCTCCCCGTGACTACAGCTTCTGAAAACATCGCGTTTTAAACCGTTATTTATACTAATGTGTAAAAACAAATATTCCGCTAAGGCTTTTTTGTACATTTTTACTAACTAGAGCGTTCAGTTACATCAAACATTAAATCCAAAATCGGATTTATTCACTAACGTAATAAGTACACTTGGAATAGCTTTTAAAATCACTCTTAACAGCATAAATATAGAGCTTAATTATTACACAGCAATGTGTACTAAATGTCAATCATGCTTCGCTAAATTCATCAATTTAATTCACATTTATACATCTCATTTTCGAGCTGTATATATTCATAATTGCCTTATATGTCTGTGCTTTGGATAGAAGTCTTCATGAATCCAAGTGGTAAGTCTGCTTTCATTGGCGATTGTTGAAATTTTATTATTTAAGCTAACTTTAGTGGACCGCCTCTATAGCCAAACTGTTAAACGTATTGCCTAGCATTGCGTTCAGCGCAAGAGGTTGGGTTCTGGGTTCGAATCCTAGGGAAACAAACAATTGTTTCGGACACAGAAGCCCGATCAACTACTTGCCTGTTAAATAATCGATCAGTGAAACGGGCACAGAAATTTGTTCGCCCCATGCCCCACGAGGGGGAAACGGGATTTCACTTTTTAATAAGTGACACCGATATATATTGTGTTCAGGGTTGTATATCCAAAGGGTAAAAAGGGTACCTCTTTAACACTTCGGGTATCTGTCAGTCAGAGCCTCAGTTGAGGCTTCTAAACTATGTATTGCCCTCAATAATAACACGTTGCTCTCTTTGTTACGGTAAAAATAGTACGGCCACTTGAATTAATTACCAAATACTCGTTAGTTGTGTTGTTACTTTAATCATAAACAATAACATTAAACTACGATCTACGTAAAGGGGGTGCCATAAAAAAATTTCCACACTTTCCACTTTTCTACCAAATACTCAATAACCGTTATATTTGCCATAAGCTTTATAATCAATAAGTTATGACAAAAATGACACACAAGTCTCCATCCCTATACTAATATCGAGTTTGGTAATGACCAGTAATCATTTTCTCCTGTATTATTTAAACATTTCACGTTACAGGCAGTAAGCGCGAACTGATAGCTACCGCTAAAGCAATCGCCGAAGCATCGGAGGAAGTTACCCGTCTGGCCAAGAAACTGGCTCTGGAATGCACTGACAAGAGAATCCGTACTGTAAGTATATACTACTTAACAAGTTTTGGACAAAAATATGTCACAAAGTATTGTGCCACTAAAAACTGCCCAGGCGCACTCTAAACACTTATATTCAAAAATTAATTAAAATAAAAAACATTAGCGGTTTAAAACGCGAAATTTATTACTTTAACTTATTTGAAAATTATATTAATTACGGCCCGGCGTTTCGGATGCTTTGCAGCAGCCGTGATCGCGGGGAGACTGATAAGTTTAAAATATTTGGCGTTTTAAACCGTTGAAGTGGTTTATTTAAATGTGTACTTCTCTATAGTCACTTATACGTGCAGACAAAATCTTTAGTGGAAGCTAGAATGTACTAAGCAATAATAAAAATGTTTTTCTGGTACCTTCTAGAACCTACTACAAGTCTGCGAGAGAATCCCAACGATTGGAACTCAACTCAAGATCTTGTCTACGGTTAAAGCTACCATGTTGGGTGCCCAAGGTGAGATAACAAGAATAATATTGTTGCTATAGAAGTTCGGGGTTGGTATACATATAGGAAAAAAAAAAAAAAATTTCAATCTACACTTAAATTATTTATTTTATTTCTTATTGCTTTGTTATTTATAAACACACACCACATAAAATACATTTTAATGAGGAAAATTCTTACTTTATTTTCTTATTTTACTTTTATTTATAATGTTATTTAATATTTTGAATGATTTGACCAACTCGTTAGTTCAATAATAGGCTGATATTACAAGTTAGATTTGCTCAGAGTACAAGTTTCTCTATACCATTTTTACTACAATTCAAGTAACCCAATCGTCTAGATATTTTCAAAATTCCCACCATGAACCATCATCCACAGATTGCAATGACATGGAGGATAAAGCCACGCTTTGACTCTTATTATTATACTGTTGATTCTCGATTCCCGAATTTCTCAAGCCAAAATCGATCAATATTTATTAATATGTGGGCCTGGGCTATGTACCCTATCATTAAGGAAACCCCCGCGTCTAGTCTATCCTCCTTTGTCATACATTTGTTATTTTTTATTTATTGATTTTGCTTTTGTATTCAACGCAGTCGGTATGGCGGATTATAGAGGTATTTATGCTTGCAATATGAGTCTCTATCTAGTTGTTTAAGTGTACACTAGAAAATATGTTTATTTACATATCCAGTAGCTGCTAGCGACATTGTTAATTATTTTCATTTGAAATTCAATCTATTCTTTATAGATATTTATAATATTCGCTTAAGTAAATTTTAAATATAATTATTGTATGAGCGCTGTCTACTAGACGGTTTCAAATCGGTTGTAGCATAACTTATGTTGACGCAAGACCCTTAATCGCATTGCCGTTCTTTAAATCAAATTAATTCTTTTTATATTAACTATTTAATTGTGTTTACATTCATGATTTTCTAGCATTGTACTAAATAAAGAGATATATTTTAGTTTTATAATATTTTCACCTCTACCGGTGTACTGTTAACAGGTAGCGAAGAAGATCAAGAGGCTACAGAAATGTTGGTTGGCAACGCTCAAAACTTGATGCAGAGTGTAAGTTATTTCCTTCTTTTTATATATTTTCATTCCAAATTATATCCATTTAGTTACAACATTTAGTCCAACACTTTCAATCAATCAATGAAATTCAGTCCGGATCACGAGCCACCCTCGTCGAAATGATAAGCCGTGTATTTTTATCGCGTTTCGTTTACATTTTGTGAATTTACGAATATATAAAGTCAAAAAGGTCAAGCGTATATTGATAAGATGTAATATGGCAGGCTTAGTTCACTCTCCATCAACGGAACTCTATGCTTGACCTCCTTTATCTTATATTTAAGTAATCTTTCCCTAACTATACTTTCTCTTCATCTCTTTTACAATATAAAAATTATGACTCAATAAGCATATCTTGCATCGAACGCGAGAGGTCCTGGTTTTAAATCCCATGTCTCAATTGTACTATAGACACATATAGCCTGTGCCTTACTTAGGAAAAATGGATTACATTTTGTCGATGCCTGTTCCAGGTGAAAGAAACTGTAAAGGCGGCAGAGGGCGCCTCTATCAAGATACGTACAGAACAGGGCGCGTACAGATTGCGCTGGGTTCGTCGTTCGCCCTGGTACCAGATATAAATATCCACAAAATTGGGAACTACATATTTATACAAGAAAAACATATATACTTTAAAAAAATAATAATCTCTGCCTTACTCCAATATGGTTAAAATTGAGTTTGTTTACTACCTACGTATATTTAAGTAGTCTCTATATTATTCGATTGAAATTAAAATATCACAATTTTTCGAGACTAGGAAGTAAAGAAAAGCACAAAAGATATTTATATAATGTACAAATGTTCTTTTTGATAGAACGAGCATAACTAATTGCATTTTTTTTGCGTATTATTTTATATTTTATTTATAAACTGAAAGGTCAACAATATATAGCTGCTAGAGGCAGAGCAGCCTAACTGCAACCTAACTTGACTTATTTATACTATTTATAGTCCAAAAATGTTAATCTACAAGACACACAGTGACCGAACTTAACAAATAATGTACAAATTTATTTGGCCTAAGATAAATGCGCATTTTTATTGAAAATCGTGTTTTTTGTTATTAGGCTACTCTGCCTCTAACAGCCTCATATATTCTATATTTTATCCGGTGCTACGTCGAATGTCGTTTTTGTTATATTTTTTTACAACGAAAATGAAGTGTGATAATCGGAAGTGCCATCATGTGCTTATATAGATATAGGAAAGATCTGGTGTGTTGGAAGGAAATTGATGTATACTAATTGCTAATATTTTAACAGATGGTAGATTGGAATTTACTAAAACTTCTTTATCATATTGCTATCTCTGTAAGTTCTCACTTGCCATAAGTTAAAAAAAAAATCCCGAAAAGGGGGGAGGCAATTGCGCGGTCCAAGCCGATATGGTTCGATTGCTTTCGTCCTCGTGCGCAATTGTCGAACCCATTGCCTAGCAATGCGGGAGATTCTCAGTTCATCCTGCCTTTAAATAAAACCGACGAGAGAAACGGCGCAGTTAAATGTTGGCCTCACGTCCCACGGGGGATCGGGTTTTATGGTATTTACGAAACCACAATTGTTATACATCAATGCAAAATAAAAATAGCATTATTAAAAATGCTATCTCCAAAAGAGAGATATTTAATTTTCTGAATTCTTAATCCAATAGAAACCGTAGCTATTGTTATTTAACTAGATAATACTACTAAGAACTAAGATTTGTAGATTACTTGAAGAGTTTCGACCTATCTGACGTAGCCTTCAAACAAAAGCCTTACACATAAGTGAATATGTATTTTTATAAGCTTCATATGATATTGACATATTTTTAATAGCATAAGTATTGTGCCCAGCAATTATTATTTGGGTCTAGTTTTAGAAAGAGACAAAAAGCAATATAGCTAGATCGCTATCTCCTTCGGACAGTCTTGTTATTGCTGGGTACTAATTGTATGTGAGTCGAGTTGTGATGGTAGTTTAAGCAATAATATTATAATAAAGGATAAAGTATGTTTGTGAATCCCATATATTAAGAGGGTCCATACATTTTATCAAAAGGTGCTTGTTGTTTTATAAAATCTTTTAGCAAATGTTTAAAGCCGATTAAAATCAAGAAATGTATAATGTGTCAAAACAAAGTATTCCTCTGTTGTTTGACTTCGCGTTGTGTAGTGGCTTATAGTCAACGGGTCGTTGGTTTCGTCAAGACCGGGTCCAACATTTTTTTAATCAATTTATAATTTTTCATTTATATGTTAGACTTAGTCTTGAAATCTAGATCGACAGTGCATCTTGCAAGGAACCCCGTGTAAAGTAGTTTAAGTGTTTTAAGATAGTAAATAATTTATAGTTTTCGAAAAGATTATAATTGTTTCGGATCCCCCTTATCACCTTATGGGTAAAACGCTTAGTTACGTAACGCGTTATGGCGGTAGCTTCACAAACTTATGTTGTGTGTGTCTTAACTGAAACGCAACGTGTTTATTTGAAAATTTTATGCGAAATATATGAAATTAAAAAAAAAATATGTACCCTCCTTTTGTATGGGATCGGTTTTATGTTAGGTATATATTACCCATTATTACCAATCTGTCCACTAGGCAGTCTGTAGATTGTAGATTTATAATAATATGGAGTGCGCTTCTCTTTATTTGCATATTTTTTACATTTTTGTTACTTACACTTGTTTTATTTATTCTAATAAAGCTTTTTTCATTTATTTCTTGTATCACTTCTATTTAAGACCTGGAAACAAAATTACGTAAGATTTAAAACCTACTATACTAAAATGTTTGTTCTGCGTTTATTTGCACTTTTTTTTATTATGCTGTTATGTTATTATATTATATTAATTAAATACGGTTTTCAAACGTTATAACTTTGAAATTATATCTTCAATGATTTCTTAAGCTGCAAAGTATAAGACGTTGAACCTAAATACGAAAATGTTGAGGTTGAAATTTCAGTGCGCGAGAGTGCATGTACCAATAAGTTGAAAAATTCGTCGATGGGGTTTGTGTGGGCCTTCATGTAGCCAATTGAAAACAGCACGGAACGCTGACGATGCCGGTTCAAGTCCCCCCCGAGTCGAAATGTTTTTCAATTTAATTTCGATTTTTAAATTATCAATAACATTAAAAAGTAATAAAGTTGTCGCAAACTTAAGAAACCCCAGCAATATTTAAACTTTTGTTGTAATAGGTTATTTGAATTCGTATAGTTTCTTTCAGTGTTGTTAGAACAGGGATACGAAGAGATAAGATAACTTGTACACATAAGACATTTATATGTACGTATGGCTAATGGGTCGCGAGTTCGATCCTCGCCGGTTCCAACGTTTCTAATCAATTAATTATTATTTACTGTCTATAGTTTACGCGAGTAGTACACATTTAAATAAAACACTTTAACGGTTTAAAACGCGATATATTAGTTAAACTTATTTGAAAATGATTTTTAACTTCGGCCCGACGTTTCGGATGCTTTGCAGCAGCCGGCAAACGCTAAGGCATCGTTAGTAAATTCTGCAAGGACCCGGCCAGTTTAGCCAAATACCAACCTTTGCTTTTAATTTCTTTGTGTTGGTGTAAATAGAGACTTCAAAGAGCTGTTCCTAAACCGGCTGTAGTTTTTATAATTATTAGGAATTAAAAAAAAACCGATAAATTTTCACTTTGTTGATAGAAAAGATGCCTTAACTGTGCTCTAAATTCCTAGCCAGTATTAGAATCGCCATAGACGCTGTGATTGAAAGGTATAGAAATAAATATTCTTGTATTCAAAAATCTTTTCTCTTATTCAAATAGCCCCATCCTCCTCCTTCTTTCCTGGTGATAGATGCGTCCATGCGCGTTCTTGTTGAAAATAAAATATAAGTTTAGATTAGTTAACAGCAATAATATTTTATTGCATTCAGGTTATACTACATTACTGAAGCTGCCCAAAGGCTTGATGGAGAACGTGTGAATATGGGCCGAAGCAAACATACGTCAATATGTATGGCTAGTTGCGACCAAGGCTAGTATAGGTCGCGGCACGGATGTGCAAGCCAGTTCGTAATTTAAATTAAACCTTTGTTAAGTTACTTCTTTGATCGCCTTTCGGAGTAAAAGCTCCTTGAATTTATAATATTACATAGTAATTTTTCGGCCGCTAAACACGACAGATGTATTTTGAGCAGTACCTACAGTAAATTTTATCTATCTCGAAGAAGGTTTTTTAAATAATGCTCTAATTTCCGAGATTTTTTGCAAATTTCACCTTAAAACCTGTGTATTAGGATCGAAGTTTAGAAAAACTTGACAATTTTAATTTCAGTAGACAGAACAAAGAAAAAACTTCTTCAAAAAGTATAGACATTTTAAATAAACATAGACATGCTTCGGTAGTGTAAATAAAAAAGGAACGATTTTAATAAAGTCGTTTATTTCACTTAGAACTATTTGTACAGTAACAATTAACAAAGTTAAGTCTTTAGTTGTGTGCATAGGTGGGATAACGAAGATTATATAACGCTTTAATTAAAACTAGTATCGTTGACTAGATCTTTTAGAATAAATGTATGACAAAGTTTAGCATCGTGTAGGTAAATACTGTATGTAGTTTAGGCGAGTATTACATATTAAAATTTTACACTTTCAGGGTTTAAATCGCCATATATATTAGTAAAACTTGTATGAAAATTATTTTATTTACGACCCGACATTTCGGATGCTTTCCAGCAGCTGTGGTCACGGGGAGACTAATATAATAACACTATATATCGCGTTTTAAACCGTTAAAGTGTTTCATTTAATCGTGTAGGTACTCTTATTTTTGATACAATACTTTTGTAAAGCTACTTTGATTTTAGAGCTGTTTGACGTAATCGTAAAGAACAGTTCTCGTCCACACCATCACATGTGTATATCCAGATGTTAAGTCCGTGAAAGAGCCAAGTCTCGGATCTTAGCTGCAATTTGTATGCGAGCCAGTACCTACACATTTTATTACAGCACTTTAACGGTTTAAAACACGATATATATTATTATTAATATCGCGATGCCTATAAATAATTATTATTTCGACCTCAGAAACATCACCATCTTTAATCGGCCCGTGACCCATGGTCCTGCAGCAAAGCATCCGAAACGTCGGGCCGTAGTTAAAAGAATTTTCAAATAAGTATATCACGATTTAAACCGTTAAAGTGTTTTATTTAAATTCATATAATAATTAACATTGTTTAAAGTATATTATATCTACTAAAGATAATAAAAACATAGTAATCACTGAAATTACAAAAACGTAACAATTGTTAAATATATCTAAATTAAGTAAAATATAAATAATTATTTAACGTTTTGTGCTAATAAATGCTATGTTAGTCTATTAATTATTCTACATACTCGTAAATACTGAGAAATTGACGATACTTCGTAAACCTACGTTACATTAACTAATAGTAGGTATATTTAGAATTTTATATAGGTTTTATTCTATTTTATTTAAGAAAATCTGTACAAGGACATGGCAGCCAGTTTCTAAAGACAATGAGATCGACATTATATTATCTAAATTGTGCATTTTGAATTAAACAAATATTTAACTATTCTTAATATTTAGCATCAGTCGTCGTGTCGTTGAAACAAATCACTAGATACAGATATTTCGTTACATGCAAGTGTTACGCCACATTGAAATACAACTAAAGTGTCTTGCGAGAGATGGAAAATGAAAAAGAGATGCATGTATAAATTTATAGAAGTATCTCAAAAGGGATGTTGACTATAATCATAAAGTTACTAGATAGTTTCTGCTATAGAATTACAGAATGTCGCAATAAATCTCCTTAATTTTATATAGTTTTATTGAAATTTAAAAAATAATTTTCCCAAAGATGAAACATCAATACCTAAGGTTCAGATGTTTTCTTTGTACTTTCACATACAGGTAATCGCACACTTAAAACTTAGAGCTTACGTTTGTTTTTGTTTACTCCACTAACCGTCTACTTTATCTCAAGAAGCCGTGACGTCATTTGCTCATAGAAATACGTTTCCGGTAATTTTAAAAACACAAGTTTAGGCATTTTATTATAATATAGATATTTTTTAATATAGGGAGGTTAAAAACTGCCTATCCATATTTCTAAACATTGTCAAAAATAGTCAACATCCCTATTGTTAGAATTGATAGGTGGGTAAATTGTAAAATAGTATTCGAGACTCAAACCCAAGTAGTTGGGTTATACAAATACGATTGACAATCTGTTCATTATGGAAATAAATTGTGTAAGACTTTCACCGCCAACGTTCAGCATAACATTATTTTTCGGGCTGTTCGGCCTACGTGAGCCAGAAGAGGTTCTCGGCGTTTCGCCATCACGAGCCCATGGCATCATCAGTAGATGTTGTTAGCTCCTCCATCGCTCAAAGTTGTCCGCCGTATACGTATATTTAGATCTATATTTAGAAAATATATAATTTGAGTCCCCAAAAACAATGATATGTTTATAATGGATTTTTTAAATTCCTTCTGTCCATTTTAACAGGTCAATTTATATTCAAGTTTAAGGGAGGGACAACTTCCCCCTCCTACTTTGCTATAACCTTGACTTACTTTTAAGCTTACGAACGAATACTATTCACAAATACTCCACAATATCACACTTTATGGATATATTTGGGCAGCTAACACCATAGCTGAGGTTCAGTCCATGTGGCTGACTTTTGTGCCTCTCTGTCAGATAGTTTTTGGAATATGGGAAGGATGGCGTATTCGAACAGCTCCGATTCTGAGCTGGCGGCGTACATTTTCCTATCCGAGGAGTCTTGGCGTTTCGAGTCTGTACGAGAATATGCCGATTTGCGCTCTTCTCGTCTGCTTGGTGATTCTGTAATTAATAAAAGTGTTTAAAATATCGACGACGTTTGAAACGCGAATTTAATTAAAACAATTTAACGAAACGACATTTGAAACTCGAAATTTAGTAACAATATTTTTAAATAAGTTTAACTTCATATATTTCAAGTTTTAAACCGTTAATGGTTAATGTTTTATTTAAATAACAAAAGTACTTATTACGCTAGAACAGCATAGAAGACTGGGACTCAATGCAAGTAAATAATTGTGTTGTTCTCTCTTTAATGTTTTAGGTACAACCTAATTTAATTGTGCCAAAAATGCCTCGATACCTACCTTTTTATAAAACCTCTAACATTAATTAAATCAATTTAAGGAATTACCAAAATAAATAAAAGTTTTATTTTACTAACATAATAATAATGATTAGTCATCCAAGATCTGTGTGAGTGTATAATAAAACATACCGCACTTCCTTGCAGCGACATTAGGACTACTTTTATGGTGAACAGGTCGTGGAGGCGCCGGCGCAGGCGCAGGTTGTGTTAGTTTTGGCGTTTCACCACCCATGGCGCGTTTAAGCGGTTCCGCTTCTTGACGCAGACGTTTTGCTGGGGATTCTTGACCTGAGCGAACGATAATTTTGTTAATATGCTTTGAAAGAAAGACAAGTGAACCAGTAAACTTATAATATTAATAATAATAATATTAAACGTTTCAGATTTTATAATATTAATCTTTACTAGTAACTGAAGAGTTTGTTTGAACGTTCTAATCTCAGGAACGACTGAAGAATTCTTCTATATTGTTAGAGCATTTATCAAGGAAAATGTGAATAAAACGGGGAAAATTATCAATCCTTGTGGGCCTTCCATTTGGTACGCTGCGAAAATTGTTTAAGACGCTCAAAAATATATATAATAGGTGATTTCTCTGTCTCTTCTAAAAAAATACCCACGACAGTGTATCTTTTTGTATTAACTTGCAAGAACGACTTGACGACTAACTAATTATAGAGTTGAACAGGAGGTTTGAAAAAAACAATTTCAATGCCCAACAACAATGTTACGCGGACAAAGACGCAGACACAGCTAGTCATTAACAATAATGATAATTTACTTGTCAGACCATTGATGTTATTATTAAATCTATCGAGAGTGAATTATGTCGTGTTTAGTATGTGTTAGTCACTAGAATTTAAAAAAAATACAGTAGGTGCGAAGGGGGAGTACGAACGTCACGCCATCGTACTAGTTTAATAGCATACTTTTATTTAATATATCACCATTACATATACCTTTTGAAACCCTTATAGTATCAGGGTCTGGTTTCCACGTTTCCGTTTCGTGAATTGGTTTGGCGACGTCAGGAGACCTTTCAGTCTTTCGCGCTTCTTCTTTCTTCTGGACTTCGATCTTTTCCGGTTTTTCTTCTTGATACCGCATCTATAACATCAAATTCATAAGCGTAATTAACAATCTTATATCCTAGAAGAAAAGAGAAATAACATTGTCAAAGATTGCTAATAGTTTAAGGATGTGTGCAAAAGAAAAAGAAATTCAGTTCTAAACCATAAAGTTATATATTTGTGATATTACCTGGGCTGCGGACTGTCTTCTCTTGGTCAAGACTTGATTAGGAGGAGTGCTGACTGGTTGAGGGAACTCCGAACCGCGGCGCTACAAGATATCAAATCAGTATATTAAGGACTCTGCACACATTTGAGTCTGCTAGAGGCAGAGTGGCGTAATAATACAACACATGATATTCAATAAGTAGGAAAATAACAATGTTCAATTAACTCAATTATTTGTTAACAATTTTCGGTCACTGTACTCTTGTAGATAACTCAAGCTATAAAATTGTAGTTAGGCCACTCTGCCTCCAGTGGCCTCATGTATATAAACTCCTCGATAAAAAATACCTTTGAGTTCCGGTCAGACATACGTAGAGTTTCTGCTTCCCGATAGCCTTCTGGTGTTCCACCACGCGGGCCAGCTGTAATGAAAAACACATTACTAGCTGCGCCAGCGATTTCCTCCGCGTAGAATACTTAGATATTTTGGGCATACAAATTCATTTTGCCAACCTTATCTTTATAAGTTTAAGCTGTTACCCGCGACGTCGGTCGCGTACCTTCGTTCTTGCAAGTTAATCTTAAAAGATAGACTTTTAGTGTCACAGACATTTTTTAAATAATTTTAAGAGTAATCATTCTTTCATACATATAGTTAGTGTATCCTAAACTGTTTTCGCAGTGCACGCAACGGAAACCCTCAAAGATGACTATGCCCGCTATATTATGCCCCTTTTTTCGACATTTACGACTGTTTCTTCGCTCCTTTTGGTCGCATTGTTACGTTTTATAGCCTCAAATTTTCCTAGATAAATGATTCAACTAACACAAAAATAATTTTCAATTCCAACCAGCCGTTCGATCCTTCAAAGCTCAAAGTTCAACAAAAATTATAAGCCTTACATAAAAAACGACAATGACAGGTTTTGAATAACGACCAACTTTATACCGTATAAGGTAACTACGGACATTAAACGTAAAATCCATGTTTAAAAGATTCATACGAGCTTTTAATTACATCACATACAATTTTATAAACATACTCACTATGATTAATTGATGTATTTGAAGCTCTTCTTTCCATGCTCTTGGTGTCTGGTTCCCTGCAAAATGTGATTATTAAGTCCAAACACGTGCGTTTAAATAAAACACTTTTAACGGTTTAAAATACGACATATTTAATGTAAGGTATGTTTCAATGTTTTCAAATTTATTTATGTAAAAATGTAAGAATAAAATACCTGTGATGCCGCGGTGAAGATTGCTGTCTGCTTTTCTCAGAAACACTTCTTTGTATTGGTGAATGCGCGTGCGCTGGAACCAGAATCAGTTATATAAATTAATATAATATACTAATATATTCGTAGCTTACGTACTCGCGTGAATTTAAAATGCCACACTTTTAACGGTGTAAAACGCGATATATGTTAGTTAATTTATTTTAAGTCCCACCTTAAAATGAACGGATTCACATTTTTGTTTACAACCGGTAAAAGTGTTTTGTTTAAATTACTTATCTTACTTTAACTAATTAAAGAACACTGTTAAGTAATTATAACGAGCATTACTTGTTTGTGGCGATTTCTGGCAAGTGTACTGGAATGTATTCGTGTCCCATAAGTCACTTTGAACAACTATATACTCTTTCTTGCGTTTCTCCGAATCTCGTCTTTGGCCTGCAAGGTTATTAAAATTGTTTCAAAATTATCTTTATTATCTATACTAATATATAAAGCTAAAGAGGTTGTTTGTTTGAACGCGCTAATCTCAAGAACTACGGGTTCGAATTGAAAAATTCTTGTTTTGTTAAAGCGTATATCGAGGAAGGCTATAGCTATAAGACATTGCCCTGTTACTTATTTTTAAAAATATTCTTAATTATGGGTTTTCGAGGCGTACGCTAGAAAAACGGTTGAAGATACCCAAAAATATGTATGAGAGAATGATTCCTCTTTCAATGATCTAAAAAAAAGTCCACGACGCTATATGTCTGTCTACCTTTTAAGATAAACTTGCAAGAACGACGGGAAGGGACGTGACCGACGTTGTGGGTCACAACTTTAGTTTATAAAGATAACGAGGTGTTTGCAAAAACGAATTTGGATGCCCAAAATAACTATTCTAAGCGGACGAAGTCGCTGACGCAGCTAGTTATACAGAAAATCAAGGACGTTCTTTTCACTCTCAGTCTCAATACAGGCGAGGAAACGTATTTTTTATATTATCATCTCACTTATAACTCGGTCTAACATGTCCTGATGATGCCGTCTGCTCGTGATAGCGAAACGTCGAGAACCTTCTCTCGCTCACGTCGGCCGAACAGCCCAAAAACAATGATATGCTGAACAATGGCTGTTAAAGCCTTATACAATGTGATTAATAGAATAGCTACACAATATAATCATAGGTGATCGTTAAATGTTTATCTGTTAAAAGTCCACCTGGCGATTATAACCCAACGAGTCTATTAGACTAGTCTGGCCTTGAATATGTACTCAAATTGGTATACATAATTTGTTTTTTTTTCTGACAGGGAAGGACGGGATTCGCTTAGTGGTGCATTACCCAATTCATATAATATCTAAACAAGATGCGCTGTTGATTAATTTTGGCTTTGGATATTTGGAAATCCATAATCTGAAACCGAAACGCGATTAAAATGAACGGCTTTTTCATCTTTGGTGGTTTTATGACACGGACAGAATTTCAAAAATCCTACTACCCATTTATTTCCAGGCTATACTGACGAAGTCAGATGTTTCTGAATGATTATAAATGGAACATACAAGTGGGGAGGGAACCCACCCCCCTTTGATTATTAGCTACACATCTTTACACCGACGAGTCCATCAAACGTTATAGATCTTTTGGCAAATCTATCAGTATCAATTATACTCCCTTTTCAGTGTCGCCAACTGGTCTATATATATTTTCAAGTTGTAGTAATTTCTCGTAGTCAATCTCAGTTATACAATACTTACAGGACTTCCTTCTTTCCATTGAAGAATAGTCAATATCTAAATCCAAAATATCTTCTGGCTCTTGCTTAGGTTTGGGAGGAATTGGGGGATCTCTTTCTTGGCCTAAAAAAGTATATAGAAATATTAAAATAATAACTTATAATTTCTACTAAATAAAACTCTTTAACGGATATATTAATCCGAAATATCCGATCTTTAATGCGAAATATATTAGTGCAACTTATTTACAAATTGCATTAACTGCAGCTCGACGTTTCGGATGCTTTGCATCAGCCTAGAAGCAACGAAACGTAAGCAGTATCCCATGACCACGGCTTCAACTAATTTGCATTTTAAACCGTTAAAGAATTTTATATAAATATTATATACTACTCGCGTAAACTACTATCCAAGTTCATCTTTCCATGAATGCTATTTACCTATAACTTTCCTTTCCAGCCCAGGCGGTGGTTCCTGGTCATCCATAGAGACTCGCATGAGGTCGTTAAGGAGAACGTGACCAGAACTAGACATTCGTCGATGGCCACGACCGGATTTATAGTCGCGGGGCGGAGTCTTTATATCTTCTGGCGTTTTTATCTGCTTCTTTGGTAGTTCTGGAGTCTGCAATTTGTTCAGTTCATAGTAATGTATTATTTTATTAATATTTTGTTTACGTTATTGGTTGTGGGTTACATTATATTGCTCATAACCAACGGTTTCTGCAGCGCATGCGATGAAAGACGTCTTTCATAGAAAACGTTTTCTAGACCTTAGGTTAAGTTACTACTTGTTACTAGTTGTTGTGAGAAATGCTGAATTTATCCATTACAAACATATACGCAAAAAATTTCAAATTAATCCTCGTTATTATATTAGTAAAGATAAGAAAACAAATCTTTGTTTACCTTATTAACCTTAGGTGGAGCTGCTTTAGTATACATCGGTTCCTGTACTTTTGCAGGCACTGACTTGGCTGTAGGTGTATCGCTAGGTTTTAGTGCTGGGATGGTTTTTGCTTCAGCTTTAGCGGGCTCACTTGTTTTTTGAATTATCGCTTTTGGCACTTCCTGTTCCTGTAGGGGCATATATTTAGTTTAACAAAGCATACATAATCGGAGAGAAGAGAATGATTTATGGCAGTTTTGACAAGGAGACTTACCTCTGATGCAGACCAGCCATATGGTAGTTTAGCAAGCTGATCTTTCTCTGGAACCGCCTTAGAAGGTGGTGGACTGGTGTAATCTAGGTGGTTCTTGAAGGAAACGTTTTTAGTTTGTTCTTTCCTTGGCTCCTTCATTTCTTTCGAATCTTGCACTATGGGCTTCGGTCTGGTATACAGTAAAGTTTTTAAAGTATGTGAAAATAATGTGTTATCTAAGGTGAACTTTACGTTACTCACACATTTTTTATATAAGTGATTTTTATTATATACTTACTTATCTGTAGTAATAGTGGTTTGTAAGTTAATGTATTCATTCTCTCCGCCAGCTGAAGCACTCAAACTGCAGGTAGATGTTATATCGCTTGTCTCTGAAATTGCTTTTAATTTTATTTAAATCAGACTGGGCAAAGTTATTTTTTATGCATTGTTGTTAACACTTTTAACTTTATATTTGAAATAATTATGTTCCTTAATTTATTCCTTATTACGACCTGAGGTACTTTGCAGAAATAGTATTTTTTTTATTTAAAAAGTTAAAAATGTCTTTGTGAATTTAATTTTTTATTAAATATTTTCATCTTTATATAAATCAGTAGATTGATTGGTGGTAATAATTAATTTCATATGATCGCTTTTTACGAAAATTGTAAGTTGAATACCTGGGTGACTAATGTTTTCTTTAGGTAAATGAAGCTTGGTTCGTTGAGTTGCAGGTGACTTATCGCGTATTGAAGAGTCCGCATCATCTCCAAGCTTACTGAGTAGCATCTGAATACACAGTTCAATAATCATATTAAATAAAAAAACATTTTTGAAATACTAAACTATGATTATTATTGATTCAAGAGAAGCGGCGAAGTTTAGTTTTTAGTTTGTGAACTCCCAAAATCCAAATTGGTCGACAGCACAAACGAAATTTTTGTGTCTTTTGTCTTTGTTTTTTTACCTGTAATTCAGTTTCCTTCGCTTGTAACGTCCGTCTGTATCTGTTGTTATATTGCCTCAATTCCTTCAATCGCCTCTCCAGTTCCGGTCCCGGAGAACGCACTTCGTGAGTAGAAGTTGGTTTAAGAGTAGCCCGGATCCTGGTGCCTTGTGCTCCAGGTTGGCCGTTACGACGTAATTCTAAAAGCTATAGAGAATACAATGTTTTTATGTCAAAATATTTAGTTTTAAAGTCATCATCTTAAAGTATAGCTTCTAAAACTAATTCGTTATGTAACGGCGTTCCGCCACCAGTCTCTTTTTCAATTACAACTGAATCATAATCACCAAAGTCCACGAATTGCAAAATGGCTACCAAATCCTGTATGTGTATTTTATAGAGTCAGATTTCCATGAGTTGCTCACCTTTGGTACAAACACCAAGCACAGAGTACCGGTTGTACAGAATATGATGAAGATTGAGATCAGAACGAAGAGAGCATCTTTGTGGTCAGCGAGTACCTGAAACATTTTGTAGATCTATCTTGAAACTAAATATATATAACTAAGTATCAGAGAAGTTAAAAATCATTTTCAAATAAGTTGAACTAATATATCGCGTTTTAAACCGTTAATTTATGTTTTCATTTGACGTCGTTTAAAGGGTAATGATGTAATACAAAAGTCAAGACAACTTAAACGGAATTACGCCGGATATAAAATGAGAATTAACGAAGAAAACTGGGCGAATGATATAATGGAATTATCCACGGACAAACAAAAGAGAAAGAGATGAGAGGACATTTATTTTAGTTGCTAGAAGCTTTATGAAGTGCTTCGTACCCAAAAAAATAATTTACTCACCAAAGCTATTGGAGCCCCCATGATGCACATGATAAGTACGTTGTAAACGGATAAACCGATGTGTTTGGAATCGTTTAAAGCCGGGATGGATACGTGCCTTGTCTCCCAGGCCAAGAATGCGCCGAATACCTGTAGAAATTTTAAAGACCTTTAGTACTAAATATGTATTAAATCTTGACCAATATATAAAGATGAAAAGTTTGTTTGTTTGTTTTAACGCATTAATTGAACCATTCGAAGAAAAATATTTTTCTGTTAGTGCATTTATCGAGGAAGGCTATAAAACGTCGCAATGTGACTAATAGGAGCGAAGAAACAGCAGGCCAATGTGAGCGAGAAGAGGTTCTCGCTCACATCGCGCGAACAGCCCGAAAGACAATGATACGCTGAACAATGATCACGGCTATTACACAATTTAGACACGGGTAAACGGGTAAAATAGTCAACCCTTGTGGGCCTGCGAAAACGGTTTTAGATCCGTAAAAATATTTATGAAAGAACGATTCCTATTGAAATGATCTAAAAAAATATCCGCGACAGTATATGTCTATCGTTAAAGATTAACTTGCAAGAACGACGCGACATGGACGACGTCGTAGGTAAGAGCTAAGGTTGGCAAAAACAAATTTTAATGTCCAAAGTAACTATTCTACGTGGACGAAGTAGCTGTAGCTCTTCATGCTTATAGTCTTTTCAATTATTGTGAATTAGTTTACACATTATCTGTAGTTTGTGAGAATTTCAATATTGTCGATCTGTTTTTAACTGTAATCTAAACTTTGACTACTTACCAAAAGCAATCCTTTGTAAATGTAAATAACACCGATGAATATAGGCATGCGTTCAGATTGGCAGTACTCGTTTTCTTGAACTATTACAATGTCTTCACTTGTTGGATGAGGCTGGAAATATCGGTATATGCTGTTAGAAGGCTTCATAAATGTACCCACTTAAGCCTACCTAATAACTCGTGTGAGCAATCCCGATCACTCTATGTCGGATAGGGGGACGACCTAGAGCGAATACATTTCTGTGTCCGTTTTACTGATCGATTTTATTTGCAGGCAAGTATTTGATCAGGCTGATGCGTTCTGCCAGATTAAAAGTATCTATTGTTTTCCCGAGATTTGAACATTTAGCTACAGAGGTGGACCTACCTTCATAAATATACCTACTTAAAACGTACCTACCTACATAAAATAAACCTAATTGCCCCAGATGTGAAGTTATATATTAAATAATATATAGACGATATTATAAGAACTTTGATAGGCAGATGTTAGTCATAGGATAGGAATAAGTATAAAGATAGAAATCAGGAAGGAAGAATTTTGGAAGGTCGGTTTAAAGCAGCCTTTCAAAGTAGCTAAATTAAGGTCAAAAGAGGCCAAGGAATTACAAAATTGCGTGGTTTTAGAGATGGAGTGTAAATGGTAGTTAATTCAAAATAAATACGACTTACGTATGCTTCCATTTGCTTAGTCGCCCTATAGAAGGGATCTGATATTTGCCAGGTCAACATAATTGCGAGATCTGCGCATAGTAGTACTCCCACAACCATGAACAATTGGTAGTCTTTAATGACCTGTAAAACAATTTAAAAATAAAGTTGTTATAAAGAATAAATTATTATTAATGTTTATAAATTTATTGATGAAATACCCCGGCCATATAACATCTTAACTATATGCGTCGTCGACCTATTTCGGCTTTAATATTCGGTGATCCGCAGACTAAAACCTGAAAGTGATTAAGCTTCGCGGTGGACTTTCACTGAGGACTCAGGCGGCATTTTGATAATTCTACCATCTGTTTACCACTTTTTTAGACTTAAATTTATATTTTTTAATGTGAAATATCCGATCCAGCGGGGCTCAAATCCACGAACCGTTGGTCGCTAGCCATACATTGCAACCATTAGACCATCGAGCTCAACTGAATTGGTTTAGTTGTCTGTATTTGATTACCTTTTTATTAAGTTTGACATCAGTGAAAATGGAGTGGACTCGCCAAGTCTTAGAAAACATGGCTCCGAAAGCCAGACTGAAACCTGCCATCAGTAGCCAAGCTCGCGCGGTGCATATATAAGGGAATGCAGCTAAAATATTAAAATACCTTTTTAAAACTGATACCTGACCACATATACTTCACGTTTATTGTATCAAACTTCAACAAAATTCAGTTTATTTCAAACGCTTCAACATGGAATTACTTTAATCCTATTTTGTCCATTTATTATTGTTATATATAAAAATAAATTAATTTTGATTAGTTTAGTTGGAAGCATGATTCAAGAATGACACACCAAACACAAATATAACACAAAATACAAAGAGCAAAAACACGAGAAACCACCAAAAGCTTTGCAGATGGATAAAGAGGAAAACCAAAACTTGGAAACATGCCGACGTCTCCGGTGACCTAGATACTGCCTAGGTCTTTCTCAGAGGTTCTAGAAAAGGGGTTCCCAAAATTTGGTTCGGGGATCCAATCTGCCCAGGGTCGAAGCTCAAGCGAAGGGATGGGACAAAGCTTTTACCTCCACGCGGTATTTCCTGAGAAAGACCTAAGAATCAATGGAGTTGATGAGATTATGAGTGACCAGTGCTAGCGACATGCGAAACGAAAGTGCTTTAATTCTCGTTTAAGTCACTGTTTAATTCGTTTTAAAATTGATTCCGATCCGAGTAAATTATGTTATTTTGACAATGTCGTTTCTCAGAGACATACCTATACTGCTGAGACTGGAGTCCAAACCGAGGAAGATGACACTGAGGTAAGTGAGCATACAACCGACGATGATGAGGTTATTCAAGTGCGGAGATGACATTTTGATGTACCTTCGAAAATGCCAATTGTTTTAGAAAATACGAAATCAAAAAAGATGACAAAACCGGTCAAGATATATCTACTAGTAAGTATCTCAATCATTATATTATGATTTCTTGCTAAGAGTGTAGCATGTAAGCACTAGTGAAATAATAATTAATGTTATAAATTACCTCTGATTTCGATAGTGAATGTTCATAGCTAGAAAACCAGTCGCCAGCAGAATACCAATACATGAGCAAGACACTAAAACTATGTAAATGGTAAGATTCACTTGTGTGTGTTCAATCAATCTTAAAGTTCTATCTTTTGGTGGATTTCTGAAAGAGATTATCATTGCAGAATTAATTCATTTGTCAGTGTATGCTAAATATTGTGGGAAGCAAATTCTATTAAGTTGTTTGATGCCTTACTTGCCAATCCATTTAAAAGGATCTCCACTGCTCAAATCAAGGTGATCTCTTTCCGCACAGTACTCTCCAACTTTGATTTCACCAACTAGATCACCTTGAAACTGCTTCAGCAAAATTGACGCTTTCCGCTCATTGTCATAGAAGCGAACAGGACCCTAAGCAAAGTAACATTTTTGTATCTTCGTTAATATAAATAAATCAATGTAAAGTATTATTTACCGTTACTCCTTCAAACGTAACATTGGTAAGGGCATCCAAAAACAACTGCTCCCACTCTTTGTCTCTATATTTAAAGTCTTGTACTGTTTTCTCTTTATACTTTATCTTAACGCGATGTGCCACCGTTTGAATTGCTAGAGCCATCGCCCAGATCCCTTAAAAGTAATGGATTATTTATAAAATAATTTCAGTTCCTCCGGGAAATCAAGAAATCGAGAAGATATATCTACCATCATAAGTGTAACCGTGAAACCGTGAATATTCAACCCCTCTCCTTCGGTCATATTCTACTTGGTAGTCTTTCGCGGTCTGAAAATTATATAAACCTTAGATATTAAAAACTTTATTATTTTTCATAAATAATTAATTACATAATTTAAATTAAATTTATTTAGGTTGAAAAATTCGATAAACTAACACCCACAGATATATATGACACTGCGCCAAGCAATGATGCTTTGCCTGTATCGTTTAGTTTGGTTATATAAGTTCTAAGTGGGATTTCAAATTGACACTCACTATACCAGAAACAGTGGTCTCGCCGGTAGTAGACAGTGGTAGTAGATCTGTTAGTATTGCCGTATCCAGCGCAGTCGTCAATTCTTCTTGAGGGCATGGCGCACGTCGTTGCCACCACTTATGACTGTATGTACCCAGAAGAAGCCAAGTATATGCTCGCCCGTACATTTCTAACCTATAAATAGAATATCTATAATTAGTAAACAAGTTTATGTAAAAGTCACCATAGAAACATAACGCCTATTATTTGCAGTTTTTTCAACATTTACAATTTTCAACTTCATTAAGGTTTTTGAAGCTATGTTGCAAAGCTACTTGTGTTGTGTGCTGTCGACAAATCTAAATAGGTAAATGCTTAACGACAATAATATTTAATTAGAATTTGATAGGATATTGGTAAAATGCAAATTTTACATTAGTTAAAGTCTCTGTAGATGCAATGTTTTCTAGGAACCCTCAGCGACAAGGCCTTACGCCTTACGCTTAACGTGTTCTTACCTAAACCTTTTGTCAATATAAGCCAAGGTCATAAATTCAGTTGGACTCTAGTTCGTACGGGTTTTGTAGATCTCCAAATATCCAAAGCCGAAACTGATAGTGTCTAGTGTAGATGTTATATGGCCAGGATATTTCTCATATCATCGAGTGACGCAATGCTCGTCTGTCGTCCTCTGTCATGAAAAACTATTAAATTTTCATGAATACCAAAAGAACTTACTTGTAAGCCTCACAGAATATCCGCATAGCCCAGGTTTCATTGAAGTTTCCTAAGATTATCCGAATGTCCTTTTCTTTTAGTTTATTGAGAGCCGTTCGTACTTCGGTAGCGAAGCTTTGTGTTTCAGCTATTTCAAAACTACCGTTGTCCAAATCAGCTAGAAGACGATTATGGGCCTGGAAATGAATTAAAAACTTTTTATTATATATCTATTAGGTACAGGGTCTGTCGCTTAATGGGTAAACGTACATTTATCATCACTAGTGAATAAGACTATAAAAATATGTACTAACTAAAGCATATCTCGGTTCGTTCTGGTAAATAGTCCCAACCCTGGTCCAATTGAAGTGTTCCAATAGGCGAATTCGTGGGATGTTAAAGGCATTCTCCGATGGTACGATGCGAAAAAAATTTGGAAACGCCTCCTTGGTGAACATTGGGTGAGTGTCTGCGTATGATAGCTGTGAATTTCAAAATAGATCAGTAATTACAGAAATAGAATGGGGGGGGGGGACTGGGTCTACGTTGGGCGTGATATAAAACGGGGGTCTGTGTAAGCGGTACATGAAATTTAATTTGGTTTCAATAGTGAACTAAAATGTTGGCTTGACTTCTCCAAACTGTTAATTCGTCATTGAAACTTAGCCACAACACAAGTTTCCTTAATTGATCTCATCTTTCTATTCGATATAATGAAAACTTATAGTGATTTAACTCAGAGGGTCCACGGATCCTGGCCAATTTAAAAATACAAATTCTTTATTTATCAAAAATATTGTACAATCCGTTATAGGGTGTACTAGCCCCCACACAAGGATTCCCTGTGTCGTGGGAGGCTAGACTCTTTCGATGCATTTAGAAATATCATATGTTATAAAAGAGTTTGGGGACCAATGACATAGATCCTAAGAAACTCCTACTTTCAACCTATATAAGTATCTCATAGGCATATTCCTACCTGGGTCAAATGCCAGTGCTTGGAAGCTTTTGCGATAGGATCCGTCACATGCGTACACGCAGCCCCAAACAGCATCAGCTTGTGAGGACCGCTGTGCATCATGTCGAAGAATGATTTGACACCAACTGCCGCATTACACTGCACATGGTAGTATTTGATTAGCTAATAGCGAAAGGTTACTTTTGAATAAAACAATTTTAACGGTTTAAAACACGAAATGTATTAGTAAACGTTTTAAAAAAAACTTAAGGGGTTTAAAAGGGGGAAATTAGGGGGGGGGGGGGCCCCCCCGGGGGGGGGGGGGGGGGGGAGGGGGGGGGGGGGGGGGGGGGGGAAAAAAAAAAAAAAAAAAAAAAAAAGCCAAAAAAAAAAAAAAAATATAAAAAAAAAAAACCCCCCCAAAAAAAAAAAAATTAAACTTTAGTTTTCAACTATTAAGTGTTTCATTTAAATATGAACTACTCGCGTAAATTAATGCATAGTACTTATATAAAAGTTACTCTAGTAAAATAACTTTTTTGACTTAGGCTCGTTGATGTAATGGTGGTATGGCTAATAACCAACGGGTCGTGGGTTTAACATGTCGTATGGATATTAAACGGATGGTAGATGTATCGAAATTCCTTCCAGTTAACGAATCGCCATCCGTTTTGCATTCAGTCTGTGGATATCCAAATTCCATATATTCAAAGCCCAAATAGGCCGGCAGCACATCTTATTAGGATGTTACATGGTAAAGATATTTAACCTTCCATCAAGTGAACGCCGAGCTTGTATGTCCTCTATCGTTAGAAAAGTTAACTTTTGAAACGATATGATAACGTGTTCGAGTATTTTTTATTAGTATATTAGTGTGTACGTCTTATGTATTATAGTAATATATGCTACTATCAAATATTATTAACCGTAAAAATATTTAATTTAATACAGCACTGAGTTGACAACCCGATTCCATATAACACGATACCCGCAAGTTTTAATAAAACGCCTATACCAATTCTATTTGATTAGATTAAATTATGATAAGCCTGCTTGTTAAAACTATTCTAGAATCAAACGGTAAGTAACTTTGGAGAGATACTGTCTATAGTTTACGCGAGTAGTACACATTTAAATAAAACAATTTAACGGTTTAAAACGCGATATATTAGTTAAACTTATTTAAAAGTGATTTTTAACTTCGTCCCGACGTTTCCGATGCTTTGCAGCAGCCGTGGTCACGGGGTGACTGACTGGGGTTTACTAATTTTTTAAACTTAAAGTTTTTATTTAATTTGGAGAGAGAAAAATTAAATGTAAAATCCTTTGTAATTCTTCTTTAATGTAACGCTTATTTTGTATTGGTTTTTATTGAATCTTATTATATATTACACATAAATTACACATACTTCACCGTAAGATTAACTGAGCTTAGGAGCAAGATACGAGCTATCTTTTACTGAAATTTAGTACAGTAACAACGTTATTTAAAAACAACCAAAGATATTGAAAGCTCATGTGAAAATGAAGTTTTAAAATAGTATACGTTACTTTGTATTCCATCAACAGGTTAGAATACTACATTGAAATAAAACGACTTTAACGGCTCAAAACGCGATATATATTAGCGCGGGCTTCCGCAAAGCTGCTGTGAAGCATCCGAAACGTCGGGCCGTTGTTGGGAATAAAATTTATAAGCAAGTTTAATTAATATACCGTTAAAGTGTTTTATTTAAATGTGTACTCGCGTCGAGTACCGGTATTCAAGAATATCTTATTGTGAATTTCCTCTTTTCATAATAGACTTACCTCAGTATCATTCCACCACATGTGAAGGCGGTAGTTCCTCAGCACCGTATCGTGCTCGTTGACGTGGTCCAACGCCAGTTTGACACTCGGCATAACGCCTCGACCTACAGCGGTGTTCACATAGCTTTGGTACTTAGCTCTTAGATAATGATGACAGACATATTTCTGTGTCCGGTTTATTAATCAATTGAAATATATAAGTAGAGATCATTGAAGCTACTTTGCTTTTCCGGAATTTCAATTACGCTTGTAATAAAATATGTATTAAGAACTTCTTACAATTGTAATCAAGGGCGGATCCAGCTTTGGCACCAGCTTGGGAGGGGGGAGGGTTTTCACAGTTGTGGTCAAGTCAGGAAATTTTTATTTCATTTTCATAAGTAAATAATTTAAGGAGTCGTGACCCTCATGACCCCCCTCGGATCCGCCCTTGATTGTAATGCAATAATAATTATTATATATGTAAGTACTTGACTAACTACACTATTTAGCACCATAGGGTATAGTTCATCTTGAATGAGTATTTAATGTTTCCATAGATACTTCTTAGTTGTTTTTGTCAATACCTACTTCTATAGGCGAAAATCTTCGTATAAAAGCTTACTCCATTATTCCGTTTTAGCGACTTATTTTTGAGCTTAACCAGTTTAATCTGGTTTCCACGCCAGACTAAAATAGTTCGAGCTTACTCAGCTTTATGTGCTATTAAGCCATTTCATGATTTCTGACTATCTAAAGCCGAGATGGATCATTTGTTTAGATTTTATATGGCTGGGGTTTACCTCCATCATTTCGATGAGCTCCCTGGTGTTATGGTAGCATATATGGCTAATAATCAACGGATCGTTACTTGGGTCCCCATCGGGTCCGGGTTCTAATCGATTTATATATTTTTTTGAAACATGTCGGACTTCGTCTGGTAATCTCTATTAAAAGAGTGGTAGGAATATCGAAATTCCGCCCGGGTTACGCAACACTGTCCGTAGTTTAATCGCGTTTCGGATGCAGTCTGTAAATTTACGAATATTCAAAGCCAAAATAAACCTTCGCTTGTCTATTCTCCTTTATCATTAAAAGTGCCCCATGCATTTATTTCCTACTCTGTAATGAACACAATCAGCAAAGATAGATACCAGTGTTGGAATTTTCCACTCCTTTTCCAAAAGGAAAGAAACCTGCTATGTAGACGTCCGTTCGTCGGTTCAGGATGGCATCCAGGTTCGGTTTCTGCGGAACCCCTTGGGTCAGCACCAGAACTGACCACAGGATGATCAGCGACATGTTGCAACCTTGATAGATATATTTTTCATATTAAAAAAATACTCACTTCACCATAATTGCGTCTGTTTTAGTATTCGATTGTACGCCGTCGCCAGTGCATTAGATGTTTAAGGGCCGTATAAATGATATATGATTATAGTGTATTTATTACGCTTTCTTAAAACAAATAATGTTTTAAGCTAATATGTTAATTGTGTTTAACACTGTCAAGGGTTTGAATCTGTTACATCGGCGTAGCTATGGTAGAGCCCGGTAGTGCGGTACACCAAAGTTCCAAGCGTAGCGGGCCCTCGACCTACATCTTTGATAAAAAAGTTTAAGCTACGCGGAAAGAGGAGCTTGAGGGTGCGTTCTTTATTAACCGGGAGCCCTTGTCCACCTAGCTACGCTACTGGGTCTATCTCCACGCCGTAACTACGTCATTTAGCGCAATGCAACTTATCGAAGTGGAAAGAAACTAACATTGGGCTTCAAAAAAGCTTCATAGCGTGACTTGATTGAATGCCTTTATCGCTACCGTCATGTCAATACTAAACAAAGGCATAAATACCGCCTATCTTTATCTAGCATTCACTCAATATGAGTTACGAAATAGATAGGAATTAGTAACCTTTAAAATACGTATTTGACAGGAAATCGTAGCATATGTATAGTATGGCTAATAATCAAGGCGTCGTGGGTTTTATCCCCACCGAGTCCAACACCTATCTTATCCATTTTTTTTAAACGTCTGGGTATTAAATGGTGGAATATAATATAATAGGTCGACAGCGCATCTTGTTTAGATGTCAAATGGCTCGGAGCTTAATATTAAGTCCTGTAAATTTTATAACTGAGATGACAGAACGAGAAATGAGTAGAACTAGTAAACACTAGTAAGCGACTTTGATAAGCGTATAATATAGATAAATTCATCATGAGAATGATATATATATGGCTTAGGTATTTCACCTCTATTATAACAAATATATAATATATCTATATTGCGTTATTAAAAAACATAAGGCCCTTTACAATCGATTTTCTATTTCTTATTTCGTTAATTGTAATTGTTTGGTGTGCTAAATAGTTCAATAAATACGAAGTTTCATCCGTTATAGGTAACTATTTGTGTTTTACATACAACAAACAAAACGGTAAAAAATATATATTTATATTATAAGAAAAGCATCTTAATATAGTTATTTTTAAATTAAATATCAAATTATATTTATTGCATTATTTACAAGACAAGATATATAAATAAATGATTAAACGTGGTATCTTTTATTTTTAAACAAAGATTACGTTAATTTTTTAAAACGAATAGGGCCAAAATGAGTTAAATTTAATGAAAATCATCCTAAGTAAAATATCTTATCGTATTTACCTTGAATTTTTACACACATTCGCTAATATACAATATCACTAACACATTACTTCTCACACTATCGATTACTTGAATGAAACCAATATTTTTGAAATGGGACATCCCTTTTGATCTCCCATTGTACTTTTCTGACTGAGTGTGACTTAAAAAAAAATAAGGGTATCTTGGCAAAGCAATAATTAGGAGCGGCGTAGCTCGCGGTAAAATTAGGCTGTCAGGGAATCGATCGAGGGCGGGCACTAGTGATGCGCATGTGTCGATATAATTCCTACCTTGTCTGCAACAGGTATAACCATTAGTATAATTAAAAGTTTCAAACATAACGAGAACGATGTTATCGAAAGTAGTTTTATACAATATTAATATAAAAGTTTCCAATCGGCATTAGTTGCTTTTTCCATATGTACATGGAAACTTTCCGTGTGGAAACGGGCTGTTTTAAAACTTCCACCACTAAAGTATACTAGAGAAATAATTGTCTTCTGTCACAAAAGTGGGAATAACACACATGCATATGATAAAAATTTAACAAAAAGATTATACAGCTTTGTAATACCAGACCCAGTTAATGTTTTAACCAAGAAAACATTTGCTTATGGTAATTATAAAAAGATATAACCGAAAATCCCATAATAAGTATTTTTTAGTTTACGTAACTAATATTAAAAATCCACATATATATCCACAACGTCGGGTGGTAGTTAAAAATAAGATAACAAATATACTTCACGTGTAAAACCGTTAAATAATGTTTTAATCCTAAGCTCTTGAAGTTGGAAGGAGTCAACCAGGGCAACGTTTGGTATCCCTAATAGGTAAAATTACTCCGAAGAGGCAAAAACCTCTACTAAACTACTAACAATCAGTTGGAAAAATCGATCAAGTAGCTTTTATGGTTTACTAATTGTAGCCATTGTTAAGGCTTAAAATTTATTATTAATTATATTTTCATATAAACCATATTATATCGATCACTGCCACAACACTAAAAAGTTTATTTACGCATGCGCTATGCTTGGGTTATCCCGGCGTTTTTGGGTGCAAAAATGAAAAATCTTAACAATTTTATTTCGCAAGCATCGCTCTCTGCATGATACGTATAGTATACCTACTAAAACAAGAATCTACTAAGAACAATAATAGAAATAAACTTTTCTTTAATTATTCAATAATTTATAAGAGTTGTTTTTAAATGCGAATAGGTATTATAGGTAAACATTTACAAAATTATGTTTAAATTCCTAAGATAAAAGAAACAAAGTAGAATTATAGTCCCAGTCATGCAATCTACATTTTGAAAACTTTATTAATTTTTACATGTTATTGCACATGAAGGCACTATATAATTTAAAAAGCGAAAATAAATTGACATTTTTTTTTTAATTAGACTCGGTAGCTCAATTGGTAGAGCAACAGCACGGAATGCTGACGATGCCGGTTCGTGTCCTGCCCGAGTCGAAAATGTTTTTCAATTTATTTTCGATTTTTAAAATAATCTACGTTTTGACAATAATGTTAACACATATGTAAAAACAGCATTAAAGTCGGTTAAGTAGCTTAGACGTACATGAGTGTTAAGTCAAAGCATGACATGATAGCGTAATAATTTTTGGAACAATTGTTCTTTAGGCACTTGTTCCTTTCAAGTTTTTGGGGGGGAGAGACCTTAAAAAATTGTTGTCAGTGATCAAAATTATAGGTATTATTATATCAGCGGCATAACCGCGATGATAACATTTTTAATAGTTTTTTTACAGTATGAACTAATTAATATATTAAAATCCATTACTTATTTTGCTTTTAGATAAATATCAACGATATATTATCAGATATATGTCAGGTATTACAAATAGTCAGGGCAGAATAATAATAAAATATTAATTACAATATTGTTTTTAATCCATGTAATATTCCTTATTTATAGCTACTTATATCTTATATTTAAATACTGTCTATAGTTTACGCGACTAGTACGCATTTAAATAAAACACTTTAAGCCGTGGTCACGGGGAGACGACTGCTGCAAAGCATCCGAAACGTCGGGCCGAAGTTAAAAATCATTTTCAAATAAGTTTAACTAATATATCGCATTTTAAACCGTTAAAGTGTTTTATTTAAATATCTTATATTTGGGTAATAAAAATGAGTAGGTATTTCGAAAACAATAATTCTTTTTAGACAGCGCGTGACAGCGCATCTCAAGGAATTTTCCTTAATTCACAATAAATATAAATATTTCAGTTAATACCGTTTATGAACGAACTCTGATTGTACACAAATCCTACAATGACATTTCGGAAATGACACATATCTGACGTAACGTTACTCACAGAATTCATTGTAAAATAAACTATTATTATGTTCATTATTTATCGAATATAACATTAAAAGTAATTTTTACTAATGAAATTTACTTTTTATTATATTTTAATTAAAATTATAGTATATAATAATTTAGAAACGGAACATATTTCTTTAATCTCATTAAAATTACGTTTCATTGCACACGTTTCTTGTGAAATTTGAAAAGTTCCACATAAGCGGTGTGATCTGTCAATAGTGTCAACTGGGATACGTGGCCCAAGTTCTCCGTGTAACGAAGTGTTGTTTATATTTTTTAGTGGGTGAATACGTTGAAATATAAAATAATTCATGTAAGTACGAGTACTATATAAAATACCCTTTTTATTTTGCTATAAAACTTTTCTATAACACGACTCTATCACTTATAATTTCTTTCTCAAAAATTGATCTTCCAGCTGTCAGAATTTAAGTAAGAATATCTTTGCAAATATGATTTTTTTTCATTGTTTTTATGTAATATACGTAGGAAACATTATTAAACTTGGTAGTGATCATAATATATACCGTATTATTTCTACGGTTCCTTCTATTCTATTAAACATTTGATTAGATCATGCATCGTCTGTCATCTAATTGTGATCACATTCATTGATGTTGTAATCTTAACTAATAATTGTTTTTACTATCGTTTGCGTTCTAAAATAGTATCAGTTCATAAAACAGTTTATAGGTCATATGCTTTAACAGATATGCAATGTTCACGGTTCTTTAACGTTAACTTGAGTGTTGTTGTGGCACTTAAACAGTACTTTTTATGAAGTTAATGCAAATATACACCCTAATGTATAAACTATTTCTTTTTTCTTAGCAATAATTCAACTAACTTACGACATACATTGCAAATTTTTTTTTTTAATGAAAAGTGGTTAGTACCACCAAAAGAATAAGTGACCTTTTTATGTGGATACAAACCAAAGACTACTTTTTGTCCAAATTTTTATTTAATGGTCCAGATCAATATATGTATCTTTTATCTAGATCGATTGTTATTGTTGTTCCACCCTCGTTCTATTATTTATTATTAAGTAACTATTACATATTGCGCTCAAATAATGTGATTATATTATAATAAACTTTATTAATGATAATGATTTTATTCTCTTTGAGAGCAAGCTTAATAGATCTAAAATAACTGGAATGTAGGGCTTCATGCTAAACACGACGTAAGAGTGATGTGCTTTGTTTATTTATTTTTTGTTTTAAATTAATACTAAAAGTTCAATTAAATATACTTTGTTACAGATAAATACAGCAAACAATGATGAATCCACAATATCCGCCCCCAGGGCAAAATAATAATGCCCCAAGCAATCCACTGGGCTTCCCACCCTCTCAAGACTTAAATGGTGTCCAAAACTCTAATATCTACGGACAGATGCCTCCAAATGGTCCCCATAAACTTGATGATATGTCCCAAAAAATGCAGAATATTAACCTCAATGGACCACAAGGCTTTATTCCACCTTCACAGTTGCCTCCGGGTCAATTGCCACCAAATTTTCCTCCCACATCTAACTTTAATCCAATGCCACCTGGTCCAAAACAATTTCAACCTGGCAGGCCTCCAATTAGCAGTGCTGCTCAACAATTCCCTCCTTCAATGGCTCCAAACCCCCCATCCTCCACTACAGGACCTCAATTTAACCAACCACCTACATCCATACAAACTTCAAGATCTATGCCACCTTCAGGACTCGACAGTCAATCTTTGCAGCAAAATCAAGGGATGCCACCTCAGTTTGGTTCAAGCAACATGCATCAACAAATGCGGCAGGGCCCTGGACAAAATTTACCACCTATGTTAAACCAACAATTTTCCCAAGCAAATACATCTTTGCCACAATCACAACCCCTCTTAAGTCAACCAAACCTGGGTCCACCAAGGTCTGAGCCTCAAGAACCACAACAAGACATTCAGAAACAGCAACCTGGTTTACCACCACAGACTGGTCAACAACAAGTTATGCCACCTCAATCAAGACTTGCACAACAACAAGGGATACCTCAGCAACCAGGAATGCCACCACAAACACAGCCAGGTATACCACCACAACAACCAAGCATGCAACAACAGAGGATGCCACCACAACAAGGAATGCCACCACAACCTGGTGTACCATTGCAGCAAGGCATGCCACCACAACAAGGCATGCCAACGCAACAAGGCATGCCACCGCAACAGGGCATGCCACCTCAACATGGAATGCAACAGCAACAGGGAATACCTCCACAAGGAATGCAAAGAGGAATGCCATCTCAGAGCGGAATGCCACCACAGGGTGGAATGCCTTTGCAAGGAATGCCAGGAGTTCCACCAAAAACTCAACCAACTGGTATGCCTCCTCAACCAAGAATGCCACCTCAACCAGGTATGCCACCGCAACCAGGCATGCCTCCTCAGTCAGGCATGCCGCCACAACCAGGAATGCCACCGCTACCAGGCATGCCACCGCAACCAGGAATGCCACCGCAACCAGGAATGCCACCGCAGCCAGGAATGCCACCGCAACCAGGAATGCCACCGCAACCAGGAATGCCACTGCAACAAGGAATGCCTCCTCAACCAGGGATGCCACCAAGTTCACAATATAACCAATTCCAATCAATGCCAGGCATGCCCCACATGCCACCACCAATAAGTCAACAACAGTATGCAGCAGCCCCAGCAAATGCTCAATATCCGGGTAAAACTTAGCTTTTTATACAAAATAGATAAAACGGTAATTAAAGTTCTTGAGACTACTAATATTTTAATAAATACAATCAATTTATTATATACCTACAAGACTGATTTTGTTTGTTCTTAGGGATGCCACCGATGCCTCAACAGCAAGGCTATCAGCCTGGGTCTGGTTATCCACCACCATTTCCTGCTCAACAGCCGAGTTATGGACAGCAGCCTTACCAACAGCCGCAGCAAAAGCGACTAGACCCTGATCAAATGCCAAGTCCAGTGAGTAATTAGAGAGTTATTAAAATTTAACATTTTCGACTCTTAGACTTTTATTCAACAATACATATTTCACTAGTGGCTGTTGTTAGCGAAGTCCCTGTTCTTGTGGCCATATTTAATATTGTTAATTTGAGAGTCGCATCAGCAGCTGTAGTCAGAAAAGCTACTTTTAACTTATGTTTACCAAACACACAGACATCTCATAACAATTTTATTAGTTAACGTTTTAAATTTGAAAAAACATACAACACACAGCCTGACAGTGGTGGTAACTTAAACATAATAACATATACTAATAACCAAAGACTACTAATTCATCTAAATCTTCCTCACAGACTCATAAAATATAAATAAATATTCCAGATACAAGTAATGTCAGATGACCAGAACAACCGCAGCGGAGTGTTTGTTACGAATGACAAGGGTTTGGTCCCACCATTAGTAACTACAGATTTTGTAGTAGATGATAAGGGAAATGCTAGTAAGTTCCAGAACTCTGTTAAACATATAGATTGTCATGACTTATCTCTTATCGCTTTAAGTAATTCTTCCTGTATAATTCAGAAATAATAATTATTATAAAATATATTTGTTATTAAGTTTATAAAGTCTCTAATTTAAACTCGAAATGTATTAGATAAATCTTATTTCTTATATATTTTACTATGACCCAATGGTTTGGATGCTCTACAACAGTCGTAGTCCCAGGGGCACGAAATGTCCGTCGGTTGAAATATATCAAAAATTTATATAATAAAAAAATTATATAATATTGGGGGTATTAATCCGTTAGTGTTTTCTTTTTTTAAAATCATTGTTTAAATATTTTTAGGTCCAAGATACATAAGAAGCTCTATGTACAGTGTACCGGTTACAGCCGATCTACTCAAGCAGACATCTATGCCTTTCTGCTTAGTTGTGAGTATTAAGTAATTTCTAGCAATCCCCGAATTTAATTCTTTTTTATGATTAAAAATGTTATCTTTGATAATAAATATACTCATTTTAATGAGATGAGATATTGTTTAGAGCATGTGAAAAATATTAAAATTTTTAATTTGGGGATTTTTTTTTTAAGTATCTATTAATATTTTACAGATTGCCCCAATGGCAGAAACGATAGGTTCTGAACAAGAACCGCCTGTGGTTGATTTTGCTGCTTTAACGGGATCTCCTAATATGGGACCAGTGAGGTGCAGTCGGTGTAAGGCATACATTTGCCCAAATATGAAGTTTATAGATGCGGGGAGGCATTTTAAGTGTGCCTTCTGTAAGGCTACAACTGAGGGTATGTTAATATTTATTCACTAAGTGTATAATCACAATTATTTAGTTAAATTAAAGTAAGATTTACTCGAGTAAACCTTTAAGATATATAACCCTTTCGAGTCTTGATGATAATTTATACGAAGTATGTACTTTGTATGTTTAAATTTGTTTCACAAGATTTACTTTTAGATTTGTATCGATATATAAATTTTAAACTAACAATAGATTAACAAATTATGTATCTATGTATTAAGTACTTCTGTAATAGTTTCTTATTTTTAATTATATTTTTCAGTACCCATGGAATACACACAGTACATAAATACTATGCAGCAGTATGGCCGAGTACCAGCTGAAATGGCTCTTGGTGCTTATGAGATTGTCGCTACAAAGGAGTATTGTAGGGTGGGTAATGTTTTTGGTGTTTTTTAATTGTTGTCTAAGTAGTTTTATAATTTTTTGTAATAACTAACTAATGAACTATTTAAAAATTTCAACTATTACTTATGTTGGTGATAATTGTTTTTTAAAATGAGAATTTTTTAAATGAAATTGTATGATTTCTTAAAACTGTAATCCAAAAAAGTATATTGTAATACTTTTTTGGAAAATCATGTAAAAATAAATAATATTACATAGAAAGGACTTTTGTCCACAAGTGTTATGACAAGAAATATGTTTGTTAGCACTTCTTACTTGACTTTGTTCTACAGTCCATTAATTAAATAACTCGAAAAGTCTTCCTCCAGTTGAGTCTTCTCTCTAGTGATTCTTGATGTTGGGACTTATCTCTGAAAATTGCCTGCTAAACGATTGTTTTTTTTTTCAGAACAACGCATTACCAAATCCCCCAGCTGTGGTATTTGTGATTGACGTATCTTACAATTCTATGAAGAGTGGCCTATTGCGGACTATTTGTGACAATATTATGAATATTATTCAGGTAATAAGATACTTATCATATTTCGTGTGTCTCTTGACGTTTTAATAAGCAACAAACTAATTCATTTTCTATCAGCGTCTTTTATAATCGTAGAATTTGGAGTGTGTAAATAATATATTTCTAAAACTACTAGAACAAAACGAAATTTGTAGGTTCTTTCATTACTAACATATTAAAAAAAAATTATTTTATTGTAATTTTGGTGCTATTCTAACTTAACTGATTTATTTTTACAGTCCATGCCAAAAGATGAACAGACAGGCAAATGTATGACCCGTGTTGGATTTATAACGTACAGTTCTACCGTTCACTTCTATAATATTAAGGTAAGTAATTTATTTTTGTAAACTCTTTTTGTAGATGTATTCTGATGATGATGAGGAATAAAAGTAAACATTTATTTTGCACATATAAGAAAAGAAACAGACCTTTAAAAACAAGGTGTTATTCCATCTTTGCTATTTTCACCATACTATAATTATTATATTTAAATTCTGAATTGCCTACATTAGAATGGCCCGAATAACAGCAATGTCAGACGATATTATGGTCCTTTGAGCCGGACATAAACGAGCGACTGGTGAAACAACTTTATTTATTTTTTAACAATTATATTTTCAGGGTTCTCTAGCGCAACCCCAAATGCTGTCAGTGGGTGACATAAGTGACATGTTTGTTCCACTTCTGGAAGGTTTCCTTGTAGAAGCGGAACAGTCTGGGCCAGTTTTAGAGGCGCTATTGCAACAACTGCCCACCATTTTTGCTGAGAATCAAAACACTGAGATAATAATGTTGCCTGCTGTACAGGTAAAATAGAATATGACCTCAAACCTTAGTAACGAAATATTAAAAGTGTATTATTTATCGTTGCTTCAAAAGATATCATTTAAAGAAAATTGTATAGGACAAAAAATATTTTGACCTACATTTAGGTAACTGGGGATTATAATGTTACTTATTAGAATAAAACTTGAGAAAATAATTAAGTGTAATTATGATAAACAGCTAATACTGATATTATGGATATTTCATAGGCCGGTTTAGAAGCATTAAAGGCTGCCGACACATGCGGACAACTGCTTGTGTTCCACACATCACTACCTACATATAACGCTCCTGGAAAGCTTATTAATAGAGAGGACAGAAAATTACTCGGAACAGAAAAGGAGAAACAGATATTGAGTGAGTTTATTTTAAAGTCCTATTTAGTTATTTTATTCCATCAATATTTAGCTGTAATGAACTTAAACTATAATATCGAATATTATAGACATTCCTAAGATGCTTATATATAAGGACTTTGATAAGTCCTTATATATAAGCATGTTTCAAGTACGATAGTTATTAAAAATATTTCCTATTTTAGATATTCCTAGGTTGAAAAAAATCGACGACGACGTGTAGGGCACGGTAGCTCGATTGTATGCTAGTTCAGGTCGTGCTCGTATCGTAATATTTTTAAAATCTAAATTTGTTTTTTAATAGATATTTAGAATTTTAATACTACCTACACTTTAGGTGCTATACAGCATGCGTGGTCTATACTTCTATATTTTATTAAAAATATAATCTTCTTCAAGGTCCCCAGACGACTGCGTACAATGAGCTCGGTCAATTGTGCTCAGCTGCCGGTGTTTCTGTTGAACTATTCATCTGCAACAATTCATACGTTGACACTGCAACAATTGGACAACTACCAAGGTTAACTGGGGGGCAAGTCCACAAATATACGTACTTTACTGTAAGTTTACTTTTCTATTCATCATATACATTCATTCATAGAATTGTCAATACACTGTATGTAGTTTTGGATCCTACATTAATTTCCTAACTTAAAATTATCTAAGATGAGATGTCAGCGTAGAAATACTGATAACCATAAATATATTATTTTAAAGGATTATAATATAATCAAACGATTAAATACGTGTCACAGTAGCGCAATTGTTAGAACAAAGTATATGTGGATGCGAGTCCCGCATTCGCTATCAATTTTTGAATAAAAGAATCGCAGCTACATTTAAATAAAACGGTTTAAATCGCCATAAATATTGGGTAACTTGTTTTTAATTCAATTTAACTACTGACCGATGTTTCTAATATATTTCGCGTTTGAAATCGTTAAAGGCTTTTTATCAAAATGGCGTAAACTACAGACAACACCAAAGTACGTAATTTTGGTATAATTATTATAAGCATTTCTTCAGCTAACAAATAACAATACATGGCGGTACCGTTTACAGGCTGAAACTGATGGCGACCGACTGTGCCGTGACGTACGACGTGTAGTGACACGTAACACTGCGCACGACGCTGTGATGCGCGTGCGCACTTCAACAGGTGTCCGCGCTACCGACTTCTTTGGACACTTCTTCATGTCGAACACTACTGATGTCGAGCTAGCTGCCGTTGGTACGGATTATTTTTATTATTATATTTCCATTACTTTCTTTTTAAATAGATTCTTTAAATATTTCGTGACGATTAATAATTATTATAATAATGAATCTTAACAAGACGTAATGGTTTCACGATTAGAATTAGATTACTTGTTGGCACTTACTTCATAATAACAAGTTGGTATAATAACTTCATAATAACAACTCATCCGTTCGTATACGTGGACCGTTTGTCAACCATCAATACCATATCGTCCATACTCTAATCGCAAGTATCACTAGACGTTTCAGCATATCGCTTATAGGTATTAAACAAACTACACTTTGATCTTAGCCAAAACCTTTTAAATACTTATATCTAAAAAATTTCCAGATCCAGACAAGGCAATTGGCGTAGAGATTAAACACGATGACAAGTTGACTGGTGAAGATGGGGTATACATACAGACAGCGTTGTTGTATACACACCGTTCTGGTCAGCGAAGACTTAGAGTCCTGAATTTGGCTTTAAATGTAGCACACCAACTCGCGGATGTGTATAGGTCTGCTGAGTTGGATACCATGATTAACTTCTTGACTAAGCAAGGTATTAATAATTTTATTATAATAAAATATTTAATATGTACTTTCTAGAAATTACAGTACTGTAACGAACGCCACCTAGTAGCGAAATTGTACAACGCTTTTTCCATTCCACCATCTTAAACCTTTCCCTTTATCTCTTCAGCTGTTTGGGCTCTACGGGATACACCCCCTCGCGCAGTAAGGGAGGGACTTACAACTCGGTGCGCACGGTCTCTCGCTGCGTATAGACGACACTGTGCGTCACCTTCGTCCGCCGGTCAGTTGGTGTTGCCAGAGTCTATGAAACTGCTGCCCTTGTATACCAGCTGTTTACTGCGCTCTGATGCTATCGCGGGAGGTAAGTTTTACAAGATTGCCATATACAAGTATATATTAATGTAAAAAACGAATTAATTATTTTCAGAAAAAAACCTTCTCTTAAAGCATTGTTTTGTGTAATTATTTTATACTAGCTGTGCCCGCGACTTCGTTTGTGTGTAATGGTATTTTGGGCAATATATTTATTTTTACAAATAACCCCCTTAACTTTCTAAATTATAGCGGTTATCCGTGACGTCGTTCATGCTAGTAAATCTAAATGGCGCATTTTTATAGATAATTTAAATAGGAATCATTCTTTCATACATATTTTTTGGGTATTGTGAACGGTTTTCGTAGCGCACGCAACGAAAACCCTCAGAGATGAACAATTTTGTCTATTTTTATCCACTGTTTGTTCGTCTCAGCTGGTCTCAGCGTGATACTTTATAGCGTAAAACCTTCCTCGATAAATGCTCTGAAAAAGAATCTTTGAACCAGTAATAAAGACTATGCGTTTAAACAAATAAACACATCCGAATTGAAGTAACTTTAAAAATATCGTACGTTTTTGTTTTCAGGACCAGATCTAACATGTGACGACAGGTCTTGCGCAATGTACCGCGCGTTGACGGCGGACGTATGTCAGTCCGTGGTTTATACGTACCCGCGTTTGCTTCCGTTGCACCTGTTGCCGAATGCGCCGCAACCGTTAAGAGCTTCCGTCGATAAGATGAACGACCAAGGAGTCTATCTACTAGGTAAATAATGATTTAGCCTGACCGCAATTATAAATGTAACTAATATCACTAAGTACATAATTACAACATCCTAGATTTATGTCCAAATATATTAAGTTTTCATTTACAATCATACTTCTTATCATTAGAAAATAATAACCTGTCGCAGAAAACTAAGGTTAATATACCAATGATTTAAATAAAACACATTTAACGGTTTAAATCGCGAACTATATTGGTTTAAAAGTGCTACTCGCGTAAACTACAGACAGTAATTACCAATTGTTTATGTCCCTATACTAAGAAGTCTAAGTTTATGATTTAAGTAATACCGTAAACCTTATTTGTAAAGCAATAAGCTACCAAATCGATCGATTGATTTCTTATAGAAAATGGCGTGCATATGCTGATCTGGGTGGGCTCCCAGGCCTCGCCCGACTTCGTGCGTGACGTATTCGGCGCACCTTCGCCCCACCAGCTCAACACCCAGGTTTGCGAGCTGCCAGACTTGGATAATGAATTGAGTCGCGCTGTACGAGCCGTGCTGGAAGACGCGAGAGATAAGAGGAAGACTGCTATGCGGGTAAGCTATAAATGTTTATACGCGATGCTTTCAATAAATAAAAAAAAAATCTACTTTTCAAATTTCTTTGACTGTAGTCGGTTTTATTTCATTATTTTACTGTTTCTTATTTTTCAATTTCAACCTTAACATTGATGTATTAAGACTCAACGTCTTATGGTTTAATTATAAAGCTTTCAAACCGTTTAACTCTGTAATTTCATCTTCAATGATTTTATTAAGACAATAAAACCTTAATAGGCGAGTGTTAAGGTTGAAAATCCATTGCTCGAGAGGTGCATGTATCATTGTGTGGAAAAAAATCGACGATGACGTGTAGGACACGGTAGCTCAATTGGTTAGCGGTTACCGTGGATGTCGGTTTAAATTCCTCCTCACCGTTAAAGTGTTTTATTTAAATGTGTACTACTCGCGTAAACTATAGACAGTATTTTACAAAGTTTTCAAACAAAAAGTATTCTACTAAAATTGTGGTAGTCTTTTGCAGTCTATAATTTGTACTTATTAATAATTTTATATCCTACCATAGTCCATACTAACAGGCATGCTAATACGTTTTTTTTTTTTTAATTTACTCGCACGTAACACGTGTTTTTCACGCATGTATCCTCTGTCTCGCATTTGCATGTAATCTATCTCTATCGCACGTAGTTAGAGATCGTGCACCAGAATGGCAAGGACGAGGGGATATTCCGCAAGCTATTGCTCGAAGATCGGGGTGTGGATGGATCGCCGTGCTATGTGGAGTTTCTGATGGACACGCACAAAATGGTGCAAAAAATAATGTAGGTTCTTTACACCGCAATGTTTTGCCCGTTCGACAGTCTTGCTTTATCGCTGGTACAAGATTTTCTGCGACAGTTTTTATTGGATTTTGTTTTGGGGCTGTTTGGTAATTTCTTATTTCATGGTCTTTTGGTGTGTGGTTTGAAATGGTGTTGTGTTATTAACCCCGTTTTGAGAACGATGCGGTTACTGTCAGCTTTTTATTGTACTTTTACCTCTACAAATATGCATGGGACATTATCCTATATGGTAATGCTATGTGCGAAAGGTGTATAGAAGAACTAAGAATTGATGGCAGGCAGGACACGGTAGCTCAATTGGCTTATCGATTAGATTTTGGTTGATTTTTTATTGGTGGGAAGGGAGGGAAGGTCGACATATAAAATAATAAATTTAAACCTATTGTTTTCCTTCGATCGACAAACGCTATTTTATATTACAGCTCAATCGAAGCAAAAGAATAGATTTGGACGGACTTGTTGGTGTAATGGTTGCAATGTACGTCTTATAATCGGGGTCCAATTGTCCAAAATGTTTCTAATTTTTAAATTTTCACAAACATGTTGGATTTCGTCTGGAAATTTGGATATTAAATGGGCGGTAGGAATATCGAAATTCCGTCCGGGTCACGAACCACCGTCCACAGATGACAAAGCCGTGAAGTGTAATTCACGTTTCGGGTTCAGTCTGTGGATTTCAGAATATCCCAAGCCTTTTAGTTTAGATGCTATAGCCTGTATTTCACCTACCATCAAGAACCCCATGACTGTCTAACCCTCTCTATCATTTAAAAAAGCTATTTTTTTAATGATAGAGAGGGACAGATATATGTTTCAAATGTCTTATTGCAGTTAACGGTGATGCGTCAACATGACAAGCTAGAAGCGGTGTTACGTCACTTCCTTGTAGAGGACAGAGGCGTTGACGGGTCGTCTTCCTACGTGGACTATCTCTGCCACATACACAAGGAGATTCGCAACCTTCTATAGCAATAGCGCATATAGATAGACCGACACATTTATTAATACTGCTCGACTAAATCAAGGGAATATGCATTTTAACCGCCGTTTTTTTTGCTAAAACTTGACTATAACGTCACGTGACTTAACGAAGTGAATATTTTATGTTTCTATAAGAAGTGAAGGCGATGAATGGAGCTAGTTTAACCCTTAAGATGTCTGAGACTAAATATGCGAATACAACAAAAAATGTTCATTTTGGGTGTAAAGTAAGAGAATACCAATAGGAAAATATAGCAGGGTGTATAGAATACCTATAATTTTACATGTTTTATTTTGACATTCATTAAAAAATATCATTGAATTGAATAATCGATAACGATTCTTGTACAAGGGAAATAAATTTCGCTTGAGCGTGAAAGGGTTAAGTTCTACTATGGACAAATCTGTCGTATTTAAGTCGAGGATAAAAGTATTTCTAAAATCTATGCATATTCCCTATAGTTGCAATGCTCGCTTAACCATAAATTAATGAAAGCAGCAATATTTTTTCTGTTGATATTAAACCATCAGCAAAGATTACGATATTTATCAAGAACGATCATAATTTATAATAAAGGTGGCATTTATTACAGCCCATATTATTTTACTGAAGTTATTTTCTATGAAACACTACTTGTGCTACCAACCTAAAAAGTATTACTATTTAAATAATACAATTGAACGATTTAAAACGCGAAATATTAGTTGAACTTATTTGAATATTATTTTAACTAAGGCCCGACGTTTCGGATGCTTTGCGTCAGTAGTCACGAGGGGACTGGCTGTCTGTCGGGTCGTCGTAAGTTTAACGAATGTATTTCCCATTTTAAAATGTCAGTGTTTTATTTAAATGTGTACTACTCGCGTAAACTACAGACAGTATTTGAGTATTACCATGGTTATTATGAAGGATAAATGTAAAGGGATAAATCCACGCCCCCAAAAGTTTTACTTCGTTGCGCTTGAGTGGAGTGTGCAAGCGAGAGCGTTGTGCGAACGATAGAGAAGCACGATGGGCCATTTTCTTATGACGTCATCACCATGTCATGTCAATATGAAAAGTCAACCTTAAGGTGTAATCATAAAGTTTATATTGTTATTGTATATGTCAATTTAAATAACTTAGTGTCTAAAACCTTGTTTAATTATTTACTAATTTCTAGACAATAGTGCTAATAGAAATGTATATAAAAATTGATTTTATTTGAGGATTAGAATGAAAAAGTACTTTGGTGCGATGTTATAATCTCGGTTGATTTTTATTTTACTCTATACAATAGATAAATATGATGTGCTAAATTAATATGGTATAATAGCAATTCTAAGATATGACCATTTTGAATTCGACAACCATTTTTGTATCGACATGAAATATATTCCAATATGTACTAGACTAGGTTTGTATTATGTTCTTAGTTTAGGATTATTCAATTATAAGGTTCGGAGTGTAAATAAAGTATATTGGCATTATTGTTTTTTTTTCAACTCGTGTCCTAAAACCCCGGAGACTTAACCGAAGCCGAAGAGGCCCACGTTACGTTACTAAATCTGTGCATAAATTCAACTTTGCAAAATCCTCTTAATTCTTAGTGGACCTATTTTTTCTTACTTGGCATTTTGGTAAACAACAGTAAGTCACGGCTAGGGTCGACCGGACTTGTACTATATCTATACTAATATATAAGGCTGAATAGTTCGTCTGTTTGTTTGTACGCGCTAATCTCAGGAATTACGGGTTCGAATTGGAGAATTCTTTTTGTGTTGGTTAGGTCATTTATTGAGGAAGGCTTAAAACATTGCGCTGTGACTAATAGAAGCGAAGATACAGCTGGAAATGTGAACAACACGGGGGGAAATTCTTCATCTCCGTGGGTTTCAGATGCGTTCTTTCATACACATTTTTTACGTTAAAGAATTTCTCTTTAAACTATCTAAAACAAAGTCCGCGACGCTATATGTCTATCTTTAAAGGTTAACTTGTAAGAACGACGGGAAGGGACACGAACGACGTCATGGCTAACACCTTATTAAGATGACAGGGTTTACAAAAACTAATTTGGATGCCCAAAATAACGATTCTCGCGAACGTAGTCGCTGGCACAGCTAGTACATAATAAAAGGTATTGTACTGTCGAGTCTGATATCGTTACAGTAATACATATAGAAATGGTACCGTGTCGATACCTACATCTAATAAATCGATCCTTTTTTGATATTTAACAAAGTTTAAATTAACTTTTGAGTGTTTAATGACTTTTCTTAAGTAGGATATTTTATAAAACTATTCAATATAATTATATGCATAAAATGTTAACAACTAAGGACAGATAAATTGTATAGAAACAAAATGCTTTAAAGTCAGCCGTTTAATGCGTTTATGTTACATCTAAATATCATTCTAATTTTCTTCTTTTTATTAGAGTCACTCTTCTACTGGCGACAAGAGGATAGTTTTGTTACCCTGGAAAAAGGAGATATACAAAATAAGGTATAAAACATTTCACTTACAATATTACATGATATAGCAAAAAGTACTTATAGCTATCATCAAAACATTTTTTTTCTGAAATACAACTTCCTTTAACTTACCTGCTTAGGGTATAACACTTCTATAATGGGTCCCTTATACTTGCAAGGGATACAGTATTTTGGACAAGGGGACTTGCGTTTGCAGCAGAACACCGCAGTCCACATTAGGAGGACCACTAAGATGAACATTGCCTTCTTCGATGACATCATAATTATATTACTAGAAGCATATACGCTCGGATTGGAATTATTTTTAATTTTAATATTTCAAATAATTACGTAAAACTTGAAAGGCCTTAAGTGTGCAAATTGTTTCGCATGGGGGCGAACATATTTCTGTGTCCGCTTCATTTCGTTTTTTTTACAGACAAGTATTTGATCAGATTTTTGTGCCCTGCCCGATCGTAACAATGTATTTTTTTCCCCGGGATTCGAATCCAGGACTTCACACGCTTAACGCAATGCAACGCAACACTTTTAACCATCTAAAGGGTAAGTAAGACTTCTTAAATATAGTAATATTTTCATGTGATTAAAACCTTTTAGAGTTATTTATTATAATAACATCAAACAGTAGCAGTTTGACGACGTGGAGGACGTGATCACCATCAGATCATAAAGCAGAATAGTTTGTTTGTTTGAAGGCGCTAATCTCAGAAACTACTAATTCGAATAGAAACAAATATGTTTGTATTGGTTGCACCATTTATGGAGGAAGGCTTTAGGCTATACAACATCACGCTGCGACTAATCGAGAAAGAAACATTGAGGAAGGTGGAAAATTGCTCAACTTAAAAACGGTTTAGAATAGCCAAAAAATATGTATTACACGGTTGACATCGTGGGTAACAGCTATAAAGATGAGGAGGTCTGAAAAAAACAAATATTGGTGCCAAAAATAACTATTCTATGCGGACGGAGTCGCCGACACAGCTAGTAGCTAGTAGAGATTTAATACCTTCAACGTTGTCTGAGGCCTAACTTTAGGTCCGCCAAATTGATTGCAAGGTCTACAATCCCTCTGACAGCAATGCTTTCTGTCCCTGTTGCACGCGTTAGCTGCTTCTAGTAGTGACAGAGCAATGTGGATGAAGACCAAGACGAACTCATTGATGTAAGGCATATTGACTGAAACAAACAAGTCGTCTACTGTCTTTAGAGATAAGGATTTTTTTACAAGACGGGCATTACATACAGCGGTTTGAGAGTAATCTTATAAACACATTTACTATTTGAATAAAACACTTTAACGGTTTAAAACGCGATATATATTAGTTAAAGTTATTTGAAAATGATTTTACCTATCGCTCGACGTTTCGGATGCTTTGCAGCATCCGTGGCCACGGGGGACTTTAGGCGGGGCATCGTTAAAATAATTTTCAATTAGTTTTACTAATACATATCGCGTTTTAAACCGTTAAAAAGTTTTATTAAAATGTGTACTACTCGCGTAAACTACAGAAAGTGTCGCATTTCTATGTTATATAATTTAGATCATCTTTTTCAATTATACGCTTTATTACGCATAAGTTTAAAAAAATATGTTATTTAAAAATCGAAAATTTTTTTTTTAGAGTCCTACTTGAGCTACCGATTTGTACACCTCATCGTCGAATTTTTCAACCGATTCGCCTCTCGCGCAATGTATGTTTTTTTTTTCAATTATAATCGATTTTTAATTTATATAGTGCCATCATGTGCAATAACATGTGAAGAATTAAAAGTTTATAAGCCAGAAATACTTAATTTTGAATAAGTCTTAATTACATATGAATTTAATGTAATGTTGTACGAATTCATAAATAAATACCGTTTATTTTCTGCACTTGGCATTGGAATCCGTACAGTCGTTATATCTGACCCTGGTGCAGGCGAAACAGGACTCCAAGTAGGACAGCAGCAGAGTCACCAGCAGAACCACCACCTCTTGGAAGAGCTCCGTTTCCATACCACTAGAACAAGCAAGAACATATGAACGACAACTTTTTTTAATAATAGAGGAGAACAGACAAGCACGGGACTGACTTGATGGAAGGGGAAATACCCCAGCCATATAACATCTACACAAGATGGGCTGTCGCCCTATTTTGGCTTTGGATATTCGGAAATCCACAGACTGAAACCGAAATGCAATTAAACTTCACGGCCTTACATTGTTACCATTAGACCAACGAGCAAGTCAAAATTATTATTTGTCCGTATTTATATGTGACACATTAAAATTTAAACAAGTTTAAACGTGATTTATTGTTTACGTTAATTAGTTTAATTACAATTTCTGTTTATTTTATTTTCTCACGTTACGCTGTGTTCCAGCAGCCATAATAACTGTGTACGTGAACTTAAATCACGCGTGTTAGATTGATTGATCTAAATTTATGTGTTATTTACACGCAAGAAATGGCTTTTCAATTCGTTTAAATCGGGTTCATTAACGGCGCTAAGTAAAGGTACTTTGTAAACTAAAGAATACTTAAAGATTACAGTATCAATTTTAGTCAACAATTTCGGGAGTTGACTTAAAGAACAACAGACAAATAAAAGAAATCTGCTTTAATAACATAAGTGGTGTTTTCTACGAGAACATCTACTCTATCTGACCACTATATAAGAATTCCGAATTCGTCGAGCAATCGAGGAGCTAACACCTCCTGATGCCGTCCGCTCGTGATACCGAAACGTCGAGAACCTCTTCTCGCTCACATCCGCCGAACAGTCCAAAAGACTTAAAAGACTAAGATGATATGCTGAACGATGGTCGTGGAGGCCTTACACATTTTATTTAATTTTACCACTTTCTAAGTTTCTTCCGCTGATTTTAAAATATGTCTTTTTAACATAAATAGCCACACTTCTATGGCTCACACTTACCGCCACAGATTAATTATGGCTAGCGTTTTTTACAAGGCGGGTTATTAGGATTGCAGACTACCCTCCGTTTTCCACCACACGCGACCACTAAGCGAAGTACCGTCAGGATTACAACAGCTACGCGTCTCCACAATAGCATCATATAGCCATGCTATTGGTGTTTTCGGGCCTAACTGTAAATTTCGGCATACATTTTATTTTACTGGAAACTAGACATCGTTCATAGTGATCGATTTTAAGTTAAAATACGATACGTATTTGTGTTTACAATCTTACTAAGTTAATAACTACGATTTACAAATGACTAAATAAGGGTTAAACATCAGCCTAGCTTAGCGTTATTTGTCTTGAGTTCGAATCCCGAGAAACTAAATTGTTTCGAGCAGGCAGGACACAGATATATTATCAAGAGACTCGGTAGCTCAATTTGTTAGGAGCACGGAACGTTGTGCCGCATCAAGTCCTGCCCGAGTCGATTTATAATCGATTTTTATGTAATCTATTAAAACTAATTAGCGCTCGCCCCATGCCCCACAGGGGGTAACGAGAATTCACTACTAAGGCAATATTTCTGATTTTCATGGCATAAATTAATCTTTTTAAGAGCAGCTAAGGAAGATATGGTTTCGACATGTGTAAAGGAAATTTTCAACTATATTTAACGTGTTAAAGATTAGACGTACTTACACGAAATTAATGTAACCTAAACTTGGATATTCTCAATAAACCGATAATTTTTTTTTACAAAATCCAATTTTAAACTCGATTCAAATTCAATTCCCCGATGCACTATCGTCTGATTCGATTTCCTCTATTTTATATTTTGAATTCCGCCATTTTCTTTTGCCTGTAAGGAGAAGATTTGATTTGAGTTAAACCACCAAAATCTGTAAAAACGACACAAATTAAACATACAATCTAATAAAAAGGTGGAATTTGACCCAAATCAAATAATCTCTACGTTTTAATAAAACACTAACGGTTTAAAGCGCGATATATTAGTATTAGTAGGTATAGAAACATCGGGCTGTAGCTAAAACAATTCCTTAATAATTTAAAAATCGAAAATAAATTGAAAAAATTTTCGACTCGGGCAGGACTTGAACCGGCATCGTCAGCTTTCCGTGCTGTTGCTCTACCAATTGAGCTACCGAGTCCTACACCTCATCGTCGAATTTTTTCAACTTATTGATACATGCACCATATTTTTTAAATTATATAGTGCCTTCATGTGCAATAACATGTGAAAAATATTAATGTTTTCAAACGTTATAACTTTGTAATTTCATCTTCAATGATTTCTTAAGCTGCAAAGCATAAAGACATTGAGCCTTAATACGCAAGTGTTAAGGTAGAAATTACATTGCGCGAGAGGTGCATGTATCAATAAGTTGAAAAAATTCGACGATGAGGTGTAGGACTCGGTAGCTCAATTGGTAGAGCAACAGCACGGAAAGCTGACGATGCCGGTTCAAGTCCTGCCCGAGTCGAAAATTTTTTTCAATTTATTTTCGATTTTTAAATTATATAGTGCCTTCATGTGCAATAACATGTGAAAAATATTAATGTTTTCAAACGTTATAACTTTGTAATTTCATCTTCAATGATTTCTTAAGCTGCAAAGCATAAAGACATTGAGCCTTAATACGCAAGTGTTAAGGTAGAAATTACATTGCGCGAGAGGTGCATGTATCAATAAGTTGAAAAAATTCGACGATGAGGTGTAGGACTCGGTAGCTCAATTGGTAGAGCAACAGCACGGAAAGCTGACGATGCCGGTTCAAGTCCTGCCCGAGTCGAAAATTTTTTTCAATTTATTTTCGATTTTTAAATTATATAGTGCCTTCATGTGCAATAACATGTGAAAAATATTAATGTTTTCAATTCCTTAATAACTAATATATATCGCGTTTTAAACCGTTAAAGTGGTGTTTGATAAATATGACAAAAACAAGACTGAATTTAACAGTTTATTTTTAAAATGGTGAACATTATTTCTTTCTATTATTTACGTTTCACACGTCTTAGTTACATTCTGAATTGACTTCTTGTGAGCATATTTTCTTGTTGCAAGTACTTGCCGTATCAACACATTAGCTTTCCATACGTAGAATACTGCTTGTCTAGATCACGTTAAAAGGGCGATATTTTGTGTAGACTATGACTGTTGTATAAAAAAATCTTCAATTTTCTCACTCCTTATACGGACCGCGTCGACAAGGCGCGCGACCAGTACACGGTATTTTCTTTTTACAGGCGTTTCCAGTTGCAAAAATCGAGAACAGAGCTAACAGCAACGTGCAGACGAAGACCCAGTTCAATTTTGCCATTTTCAGTTCTGAAAACGAAACGGTGCATTCTTAAACCAAACGGTTTAAATACTGTCTGTAGTTTACGCGAGTAGTACACATTTAAATAAAACGCATCCGAAACCACGGGCCGTAGTCAAAATTAATGTGAAAATATGTATAACTGATGTATATCTCGTTTTAAACCGTTAAAGAACCGTCCGAGAAGACCGATTACTGTTTCCTATATAAATTAAAAATAGATTGTAATTTGAAAAAATCACGACTCGGGCATGTCTTGAACAGGCATCCCCAACGTTCCGTGCTGTTGCTCTAACCAATTAAGTTACTAAATCCTACTCGGTAGCTAAAGTGATTCATTTTATTTATTAATCGATTTTTTAATTTTATATAGTGCCATGTGCAATGACATGTGAAAAATATTAAAGTTTCTAATAATGTTTCCTAGTTTGGATTTGAACCTAGGAACTCTCGTATTTAATGCAATGCTACAAGGAGCTAAGATATACATCATACTTACATGTCACTTTGCACAAGGCGCTGGTTTCCTACAGGCGATATATACCTTGCGTGTGCAACAGCTTACGCCAGTAAATAAGCTGATGAGAGCGGTGATGAACAACACAGCGTACCGCAGATAACCCATCATCCTACCCCGACACCATGGTCTGCAATGGAGCTGACCTGGAAAAATTTCCGCTTTGGATCCACGAAGAGCGGGTAAATCCAGTGGATTGTTGTTTTTGATAGAAAGAAGCAAGAGTTTTGTAAATTGTTGAAATTCAAGAACAATCAAAGATTAGATCAACTCGTATGTCAATTGTTTTGTAAAAAAAAATATATCTAACTAGCTGTGTCAGCGACTTCATCCGCGTACAATAGATATTTTGAGCATCCAAATTAGTTTTTGCAAACCTCCTCTCCGTCTTCACAAATTTAAGCTACTACCCACGACGTCGGTCGCGTCCCGTCCTTCTTGCGAGTTAATCTTAAAAGATAGTCATATAGTGTCGCGGACAAAACATTCTTTCGCCAGTATCCTGAACGCATCGGAAACCCGTAGAAATAGATAATTTTACCAAGGTTTTTTTCGTATTACGCTCTAACCAACAAAAAAAATAATTTTCGATTCAAACCAGTAGTTCCTGAGATTAGCGCGTTCAAACGAACTAACTATTTGGTTTTATATATATTAGTCTAGATAACAACGACAAACGTAGAATATGTGCCTTGATTATGTACCTACTGCTTTGAAAAGTTTATAAATTTACGTTAAGTGTTATTTTAATAGAAAAAAATATGTACTTTTATTAAAATGTTTTAAATTGTATTTTTATTTCCTAAAGTACCTAACTACTAAACTTATGATTTTATAAAAGGATACATTGATTTGGGTCAAATTTTACTAATATATTTATCTAATATCATGAAACTCGTGTTGAAATAATTAATATACTCACGGTTTTTTTTGTGTAAATTTTTGCTGTACAGGACTGAAATTTTGATTACATCTGACTGGTGTCAGAAAGAATGTGTTTTGTTTGAACGTGATTTTACTTGTTGACGTATCTTCTGCGAGAAATAAGTATTTATTATGTGTTTATTTCATCATAATTGTATTCTTCAGTATGTCCTGAAAAACCTAACATATAAAACATAATCTGTTTCAGCGCCTTTGTCCGTGTAGAATAATTATTTTGGGTATCCAAATTTGTTTTCTCTTCATCTTTATAAGTTTAAGCTGTTACTCACTACGTCGGTCGGGAACCGTCATTCTTGCGAGTTCATCTTAAGAGATAGACATATACTGTCGCGGACATTTTTTTGATCATTACAGAAGAATCATTGTCTCATACATATTTTTTGTGTATCTTGAAACATTTTCACAATGTACGCATCGGAAACCCACAAAGATCTTTCCAAGAAGTTCAATAAAAAACGCCGACACTCCCACGTTCTGCGGAGGAACGTAATAGATTTTACGCGAATATTTCGTTACCGCGCAACGCGTAAAAAGATTACATGCATCTATAATAAACATCTAAATATACCGAAGAGTAAAGTTATTAATCTCTAAGAGACGGTCGCGCGGGCGCGTTTATTTTTGACGCAATTATAAATAGGTGCTATAAAATCGAAAATATTCCAAACAACCCGATTCGGCATACGATACAAACTGTACAAGTGCTTGGAAATATTTGTCACGACGAAATTCTTATGTCTTGAGAGTTTACAGTGAATCAGTGTTTTGCCACGAGACCGAGGGTTCGTGAAAGATTTTCCTGTTTGTCTTTCAGTGTACAAAAGATCGCGAACGTGTACGTTTTTCATGTAAACGCCATCAATCTCTGTTGATCTATTATTTGCTTAATTATAGTGCTTGGATTGTACTTTGTGAAGAAATACAGGTAAGTTTTGACTTATTTTTGTAACATCTAAAACACTAACAGTTTTAAACTTAAAATTTACAACCCTAAAGTCAAACAAAATTTAGTAATTTAAATTGCTTTAAACTTGTTTTGATCGAGGAGCACAGACAGGGATGGGGCTAATTTTTTGGTAGGTAAAATACCTAAGCGTAAATAAAAAGCGTATTTGACTAGAATATTCTGAAATCCACAATCCACAGACTAGACCGAACGTGATCAAACTTGACTTTTCATTGGTAACCGGTTTGTGACCCTCTCGGAATTTCGATATTTCGAATTTCGAATTTCCAGATGAAGTCAAACGTGTTTCAAAAAAATTATACATTGATTGAACACACCTGTTTATTATTACCTTAGGTATACATTGCCACCATAACACCACCGAGATCGTCGAATGTTTTATAACGTTAAGTAAGTATTTTGTGGTATCAAAATGGTAATTTAGTAATGTCAAGGGATATTTTTCATTATAAAAAGCCGAGCACACGATACTAAATATAAACGCAATGTAATTCTAAGTAGTTTAAAATTATCTAAATCTAATTAAGACATTAAATACCTCTTAAACGCAATAAACAAGATTATGCAATAAGTATTTTAACTCGGTTCTATCATGTTATAAATTATGTATATTATAGTAGATTGATGATTGTTAATTCCATTAAACAGTTTCATGAGTTCGAATTGCGGGAAGACGAATAATCATTTCGGTCGGGCAGGGCACAAAAATTTGATCAACTACTTGCCGGTAAACAAAATCGATCAATTGTTTTATTTGTATGAAGTTGATAAAATTATTCTAACAACGCCGAGCCATAGTTGAAATAATTATCACATAAGTTTTCACCAATATACGTCGCGGTTTGAACGGTTAAAGTTAAAAAGAAATCGATCAGTAAAAAGGACACAATAATGTGTACAGAAAAATTACTAACAGATCTTAGATATTTCTTTATGTTGGTACTCGAATCTCCTAAAAGGATTCAGTTTACGCTTCTGGCCCGGTAGGTATATGTTAATCACTCAAATAATAAATAAATTCATTATCGCCTAAGTTAATTGCGCTATTATATTTTCCGTCTTATTGCATCATGTTTTTTTGTTTTTAGGCCTCTGCCTCTAGAAGCCTCATATTTCGTTTAATTCGCGATGTTTTTTTTTAACGAAGAGCAGGAAGCTTGCTAACGGATATCAGTTTCACATTATTATTAAGTATTGGGTACATTCATCTTATACCCCTTCTATGAGAATAAGATTTTATTTATAGAATATATAACATTCAATTAAAACACTTTAACGGTTTAAAACGCGACATATTCCCGTGGTCACATCACCCTGTAGTTAAAAAAATTACAAATAAGTTTAACTAATACATCTCGCGTATTAAACCGTTGAAGTGTTTTATTTAAATATTTCAATATTCTATATTAGTCACTGAAACTAAAAAAACAGTCAGCAAGATATCAGTTCTAACAATTAACTATTTTTCAGTACATATAAAACCCTTTTAAATGAACTATTAAAGCAGAAATATGTTAAACTTAAAAAATTTCAAGAATTGAGTATCTATATTTAAATAAAACACTTTAACTGTTTAAAACGCGATATATTACTTAAACTTATTTGAAAATGATTTTTAACTTCGGCCCCGGGGACGGGGCGTAAACTATAGACAGTATGCTGTCGATGTATATTTCAATAAAACACGTCATTGTAATTTAACTATGATCGATAACTAACAAATAAATGTAAACATTTGTAAACTTAGTTCGTTAGAAAAATTTCTTAAATTATTATAAATTTTCATATCCCTGTGAGAACTTTAAACTCTCAGCCAACAAAGGTGGGAAGTGAGCAGTAAGTGGTGTAACATAACAACAGTGGTAATTATAGGCTTCTCTGCTGATTCGTTTGTATTGTTTTAGTTTTAAATATTGTTGCATAATTTTACCAAACTTTACAGAATACATTTTCAAAAACATATCTTTTAAGAATCATATTTGCTGAAGTCTTACAAAATATTTTTCTACAACAATTACAAAAAACTTTTATGTTCTTTTTTTTTTCGTTACAATTTCTTCCATTCGAGTGTTAAATTTGACTAGAATTTTATCTAGATCTAATTCTATCTGATCACAAAAAGTTTACTAAAGCTTTACTATATATTATTTTACCCAATAATTAATGTATCGCTGGTTGCCGATTCCATTCCGGCCCGTGTCATCGAAATTTACTATCCATACTAATATAAAGTTTATTTTCGTTGTTTGTTTGTTTGAACACGCTAATTTCAGGAAGTACTGGTTTAAATTGAAAAACTATTTTTGTGTTAGGCATAGCGTTTATTGAGGAAGGCTATATATTTATTCATTTATTTATTTATTATATATTATAGGCTATAAAGCATCGCTCTGTGACTAATAGGATCGAAGATACAGCGAGAAATGTGAAAAAAAGAGGGAGAAAATTTTCAATCAAAAATATGTATAAAAGAATTATTCCTGTTCAAATGATCTAAAACTTGCGCACGACGGGGCGCGACCGAAGTCTTGGGTAACAGCTTAGATTTACAAAGATGAAGAATGGGTACCC